ATCTATGATCGATGACCCGTTTACAGTTTGGACTCATTCATACTTCCATTCATTCAAAATTACATTCCATTCAGGTCAAAATTACAGATCGTAATTTTGACCTGAACCAGAGAACAATCAATCTCCAATCTAGTACTCCCAGAGGTATAATTTGTTATAGGAACATGGAGGAATTTGTGACCCGACAGATTTAACGTGCACCAGTCATTATTTACTACACGGGGAAAACCAGCTACTCAATATAGTTGATTGAACTATTCAGTTATAAAAATCTAAGGAAAAAGATACATTACCTTTCACCATGTTAAGGATTCCGTTTATGTTTGGAGCGCTGAGAGGGAGGGGATGACGTTCTACGTCATGATCTGCGTCATCACTAACCCTATCTATAAAAAGAAAGTTTTCTTTTAACGGAGCGAATTTCTTATAATATCCACTAAGTAAAAGCCGAAGCTTTTGCAACTAAATTTCAGAATAGTTACTTTTCCACTAATTTTTGTGTAAACAATATTTCGTGTAATATTTGCAATACTGGTTTATATTAAAAATGTCATTTTTACATTAAATAATTAAACGAGTTAAATTTCCTTTTTCAGAGTTTTTGATCTCACAACTGAAGATCAAATCATTAGAAGTGGAAAGGTTTATGGAAGTTCTTTCAACAGAAACAATGGACAAATTGTTATGAATTTATTTTATTGTTTTGCTAGTTTTAAATTCACACTAATTTTATATGATGTACATAATAAAAACTTTTTTTATGAATATTTTATTTATTTATCAACACTAGCTGAATGCCTATTCTAAGGACTGAGTGCGAAAAAAAACAAACGGAAATCAATGAATATATCAGCTCTCAACTTCATTGCGAAATCACGCATAAGACATATACTGACACTCTGAAACAATTAATAAAGCTAAAATAATATCCTTTTTTTTATTATTATTACCAGCGATCTCACCCTTCTTCAACTCTATACTATGCTCTATGGAAAGTGCTTTCAATATAAATGTATAACAATCTCGAGCTCAATACCTACTCTAGTTCCGGTTAGAAAGTTTGTAACTGCTTACCACAGCTTATTCTGCGAGGCGATATTTTCATACGGATAATTTTGTTTTTAATAAAAAGAATAAATCAGATAGATAATTTATTAATGCTATTATGATATTTCGGTGAGTTTGAAGTGAAAATATGTTTTAGTTATTGATAAAAAGGTGACACGGTTGCTAGATTTAGAAAGAATTCGCTTTTTTTGACATTTCTGATTTGACCTCTTTTTACTTGTTTATTACTTTTTGTTCTTGTTACAAGCCGTGCTCCATCATACGTTAATGTTAGCATATTGTTCGAGCAGTAGGACCTAAATTATACATTTAGGTTTAAATTTCGAAGTTAGTATATTGTTGACAAGATAAGAAGTGTTATACATCGATTCTTTTTTTTTTTTCAAATGACGATTCTTTTTTAACCACAAATAACAATTGCTTGGCTGTTTTGTTTGAAAGGGATAGTACAAATAGTATATAGAGGTAAAAACCCATCTCAAAAAAATTCATAATTGAAGAATCGAGTTTTGTAATTTGTTTACAATTCTATTCCTATGTATGTTAAATGTCATGTTTTATTGCCTACGGTACACCCGCGATCCGGTGTGTAGACATACACACAAATTCTTTATTTTAATATGTGTATAAATTTCTGCAGAATTGAAAGTTCAGCTATCTACTTTCTACAGCTATTATAAAAATTTTGAAATTATTTTCATTAAGGTCAGGGGTCATCACAGGCTACTCCAAAGGATGAATATCGCTTTTGGCAATATCGCAATTGGAGGTATTATTCGCCCATATGCTCTGCTGAGAAGTTTCACTTGCAAGGATCTAGTTCCTGTACAGCTGATCTGTCAAAGTATCGCTATCGAACACATTCTAATTGTTTTTATCAGTACATATATATATACTTTTACAACCTCACTAATTTTGTGTCAAAAAAATCAGCACAAGATAAGACAAATACTTCCAGAAAAGCTTACAAATTAGGGGAGAGATAAACAGAATCAGCACTCTGTCTTTTTGATTAAACAACTACTGCCATTATTTGGAAATCATATGAATCTAGCTGCTTGACAGATGAATAAAAAACAGATATGAATGTTTGTTTAGAAATGTTATTTTTACATAGACAATTTAATCGTGTAGTTTCCAATTAAATGCAAGAAAGATTTATTTAATGAATTCCAATATCTGATTACACATCTTTTTAGCTTTTGTCTTTAATTAGTAAACGCAAATTTCACATCAACCTTTTTCTTTATTAGCTATATTAAGTCGTACTCCAAGGAAGATCATATACTGTGTTTCAACAGTAAAGAATAGCCACATGATGATTCTAGCATTGCGGAGACACATATTCAACAGGGTGCGTAGTCAAATTATTCAACAAAAAATAAGCACCTTTTAAGCACTCAAAAATATTTTTAAGCACTTTAAAAAAAGATCATAACTAGGCAGGGTTGAAAAGTTTTTGACTATCGACAGTTTTATCCTGTTTTAGCCGTCATGTCAAAAAAAAAAAAATTTTTTTTGGCATTGTTTTTTTTTTTGACAATTGTCAAAAATCATGAAATTTTGAATCATGTAAAGCGAATGGCGTTTTCATACGCTACGGACTAACTATACGCCGAAATAGATTGGGGTTGAACTAATTATGAAAACATTGAATAGAACAATGTGAACTGTGTCTTTTTGCATAATTCGAACTGAAAATCAACCTAGTAAAGGAAAAAATCTCATTTTGAAACAGGGAAAATTAAAAACACACAATGAAAAAAGCACCTTTAAGGGCTTTTAAAAAACGAAAATCGGCACTTTTTAAAAACGCTACGCACCCTGTTCAAAAAGCTAATTAATTTAGATCTCTAAAATATGTTTTTTCTTTTTTTTTATATATTAAATAATTTTTTTTATTTCTAGAGCTTAAATTCTAGATTACAATATTAATAAAAATGTAAGCAATTTCATTCACAAAGTTTCCTTGGGAAAAAATAAATAAATAAACCTTAAGGACTATGTGTTGTCAGACTTTCTCTTATAACAGAAATTTTTTACAGCACTGTTTAACGAAAAAAAGAAATCAAGACTGGTAAAATCAATACCCAACAAGATTTATTACTGAATTTTCCAAAAATAAGAATTAATGACCATAATAATTTGATAATGAAAAATTGTTAATTATAATTCTTTTCATATAATGACTATTCCCAAAATATCTGAAACAATGAATCCTGCGATTAATGCAATAAAAATTAACCATGTTTATAATTAATGGACGGTCCCTAAGCTAGAACTATCGAATAACTGATATGACTTCTATGATTTTGTATCAAAAATCTAAACCCTTTTATTTCAAATCGATTGTTTTGAAACTGGCATTTGTAGAAATGATGCTCTGAACAGCGACGAAAATCAGGACAACTACGAACCCTGTATTGTTGCTAGATTTCTAGTAACTCAATATATATATATTTTTAATATTTACCAGTATTTGGTGTGTAGTTTTTAAGTTTGAGATAAGTGTTGAATGAATTATGTTTATCAAAATCTTGAAATTGGAACTTTATTTATGTTTCTTTGCAACAAAATTGATCTAAAATATTAATATATTTCATTTTATTAACTGAAATACAAATGACAAACACATGCACACAGCATTGCTGCCACTATCTACAAAAAATGTTGATGGTACCTATGAATGAATGGTACAGAACAATAAGTTTTTCAGAGCTTTATATACAAAGCACACAAAAGACTGTAAAAACATAACAAAGTTTGAATTCTCTTTCTTTTAAAAATAAATCCTCCAATAAATAAATATAATAATTACTGAAAATGCATTATGTGCAACCAATGGGAACATCATTAGCTTTAAACCTGGCAGATTTATGCTATGCTATTGAATGGAAAACTATACACATGAATAGTTTATCTATAATATTATATTATAAACTATGTTTGTACAATTTTGGCTATTAAAATGAGAAACAATAATACAAAATCTTACAAAAATTCAAAGAATGACTTTAAAATAATCATAATGTACAAAAATAGACAAAGATCTCTCCCTTGGTGTTGAGTAGCAAGCAGAATTAGCAACACATAAAACCCATCTGACTTAACAGACTTTTCAACAACTGAAATTGTAATTTTAAATGTCTTTTGAAGGGTGTTTTGTTTTTATTCTTTTAAAATAATTTGTTGAAAACATTTTTACTTCAAGCATACTTTCTGGACTCTTCTTAATCTTATGTTGTAGAGAGGAGAGAATACTTAAGGACATATATACAAGAGAAAATAAAATAGAATACCATAATAAATGAAATTTTAAATTAAAATCATAAATTTAAAATTACAATCAATGAATGAAATGGACAATTTGTACAATGAAAAATGAATGTGCATATTTATATATTTACAAACAGGCAGCAATAATCTCAGATCTAATCTACGTTTAGGTTCACTTATCAAACAGCTTTTCAACAATAAAAATATGAATTAAAAGCAAATTATATTTAAAATCTTTAAAGCACCCAACAGATGTGTGTGATATACAGATAGAAAAAAATATTATAAATTTATAACTTCCATATCTTATTACGAAATTCTCAAACCAAGAGAATTGTTTGTTGTTGCTTTTGATTCCATCTTTGAATTGGATTACAAACAAAATGCTATCAATTTAACACAAACTGGAATTTTCACATTTTAAGAATATCAAAACTTTTGAACGATTAAAAAATATGGATATTTTTTAAATTAAATATTGACTTATAATTTCATTGCTTTTATTTTAATATTTTTTTTAACTTTACTGTATTACAATCACTGGTTTTTTGAACCAAAAAAAGAAAATCTTTGCTTTTAATTTATTTTTTTATAGTGGAAAACAAAACCTTCAGTGATTCAATTAAAAGACAAAAAAGCTTGTTTATTCGTATTTNTAACTTTACTGTATTACAATCATTGGTTTTTTGAACCAAAAAAAGAAAATCTTTGCTTTTAATTTATTTTTTTATAGTGGAAAACAAAACAGTGGAAACAATTATAGTGGAAACAATTAAAAGACAAAAAAGCTTGTTTATTCGTATTTCAGGAAATACATAATTAAAGATTTTTTTAGCATTATTTTATTTTAAATGGGAACACACATCATTGTAGAACATAATTTTTAATAGTCAAAGTAATTTAATGCATACTGAAAAATAATCTTAATATTGCACAATACGTTTGGAAATGAAATTTTATGATTAAAGCTAATTTATACAGTACATATACATAAAAATTTAAAAAATCAGTTTGTGGAAACTACTAATATTTGATAATAAATGCAGTCAGCAAATTTTGCTCTAAGGAAATAATGGCTTTATCTAAAACATGTTTAGATAAAAGATACATTTATAACAGAGATATAAGGAACAGTGATTTGGACAAATACCGAATATTCGGCAGTCGAATAGCCACATTTAAAAAAATCATTGATAAATATTATTTTTATTTATAAATAAGTTTAGTCAGTGAATAATAATTAAAACTTAGCTATATCATTGAAAAGAAAAACTAAAATAGTTATCCCGTAGAAATATTTAAGATTTATTAAAGGAAAATTCAACGGCGAAAATAAAATTTCAAGTTAACAGTGCTATTTTTTTTTTATATAGAAAAAACGGACGATAAAAGAACTTCACTTCTTAGATAACGCCGATAAAAAGAAAATGTAACAAAAAAAAATTTTCTTCTTAGTTTTCAAAATATAACTTTAACATTGAAAATAACAGTTTACACTGCCGGTTATCTACCTTGCTGCACAGGAAAAAAGTAACAATAAAAGATTTAAGCCTATCAGAGATGCTCCGTTAAAACGCTATGCTATAATAAAAACAGAAAACAGCAAAAACAGAGCAAAACAAGCATAACATAAGTATTCTCAATAATTAAAACAAAAAACTTTGAAAAAATGACATGCCCGAATATCATTTTTTTTAAAAATCTGTTGCACAAAACTTGAGGTTCAGTATAAAGTAATTTAGTTTCAATTATTTAAACTTTGCTTTTCCATTTGTTTCTCAGAACGTAAATTTTTAAGTTTTAGAGCTTAATAAGTGTTAAAAACTATTCTTAATAATGTATAGTAAAAAATACGATTTCAGATTATACTCTTTATTAAGTCAATTCAAATTTCAAAGAAGAAAAAAAAGTTAAAAAAAAAAACTTTGCTGAACATTCCGCAAGAGGGCCGAATACAGAATATTCGTTACATCTTTCATTTATAACTCATCTAAAAATGAAACATCAATCAATACGTTAATAAATAAGAAGTCAATTTTTTCATAGTATTTTAATATTAATATAAATTAATAATTTGACAAGAAAACATCAGTAAACTTTCTCAGCAATAAAATATTTCAGAGTATTTTTTCATATTGAGTGAAGATAAATCTATTCATATGCAGCTAATACAGAATGTTCACAAATAAATTACTGCTACAATGAAGGTTAACTTTTTCAGAAGTATGGATTTTATTTAAAATGGTACCAATACTGCATTAAAAAGGAGGGATTTATTGCTCATTACATAAATTATCTGCACGCAATAAATAGTTATATTCATGGTGCCTTATTTGCAATGACCAACCCATTATGATAGATTTTACACGCTTGATATTCTTTGACCAATGCATGCACAATTTGAAAAATTTAACCTTCTACTACAACGGCGCTGTTGTTTTAAAATAATTACCATTTTCTTTTTCTCACATCAAACACTTAGAAACACAAATCAACACTTAATGGGTACTTAGTCAAAAATTTTCGATATTACGTCAATTTTGTCTAACAACAATACCAATAATTTTAATATTTACCTTATTATAACATGATTTTCCCTTACAAAATAAGCCAATATTCATTCCGGTCACTAATAATTCTTTAAATGACATAATAAATTTTTAAGTCAGGCGCTTATAGAAAAGGAAAAAGCAACTAACATACACGTAAACTGATTATCAAGGGAAAAAATAATTCATGAAATTCAAGTTATAATAGTGGTTGTATGTCAATCAATAAATAATAATAAACATGTTTTTGAAAAGTGAACCTATAACTAAACTACTAAAAAGCACAGACTAAGCATTTCTTGTTGAAACATTAAAATTAACATTATTTACACATCTTTTTTTTTCTCACAATACTCATTTCATCTGATATATAAGTGATTCATCTTAAGACTGATGCCTGACTATGAAACAGTTACAGATAAATAACAATGATTCAATGTTTTATTTTTTACTGTCACTGGAGAGATATTGCATGAATAGTACAAAAAGTTATTCATAAAATTTAAGCTTAAAACCTTTAGTTCACCAAAATTAACAATATTTTACAAGTGCAATGGCAAATAGGGGTCCTTTAAAAGTGCTTCCTCCTTTTGAGACACTTCCAATCGGTATCATCGCTTCCCAACCAATTAAATCTTTCAGAAAGCATCTCATCGATTTTGACAGGTACTAATGCAGAGATATCCAAAATGGTGAATGACGAGGAAAAAAATGGCCTTTGAACTCAAGTTTTAAATCGGATATCTCCTTCCCAGAAAGAAGATTTCCGCACATTTGTACAATTCAGTGTTTAGAACTGCTTCCTTATTAAAAGAGGCAACTTAATAAATTTTACAAATATATATAGGCAGAAAAGCCATGAATCATTTGAGAATGGACAATGTTTTCACGTTATGCTTTCACGGAATAATTTAATTTTTTGTACAAAAAAAGATTCCAGCATTTCTGCACAGTTGTAAAAGGGAGACGACCTCGGATTGTAGTATCTGCAGTTGTCGAAGATTTTGGTCATATCACCGATGAAATCAGCAAGTTTCTTATAAGTATGCAGATTTAGTCTCTGTTCAACGGTTTTTAAATCTGTAAATAAAATATGGCCTTTTATGAATCCAAATATATAAACAACATTTTATACAAAAAAAAATATTACATAAAGAATTTAGACATACCCATTGGCTCTTTAATAACCTTGTAGTAATCAGGAGCTTCGACAGGATCCACAGGTTTCATAAATGGCCATGCATGCTTGTGTGACTAAATTGTAAGGAGAATAAATATGTAAATAAATAAGAAATTAGGGAATATAAAAACAAAAAAAATGCAAATTGAAAAGAACATCTCAAATTGTTATTAAATAGGTAAAAATTTGTATAAATTTAATATTTCAGATGGTTTCAGGAAAGAAACAACTTAAATGTAAATTTAAAAAAATTAAACATAATTACTTTAATATTTTTAGTTTATTAAAGTTCAAAATAAACCGTATGAAGTGTCTCTTTGAAAAAGTTAAAGAATGAGAGCAGACAGCATGTTAGATAAATAAATACTAAAAGGTTTGTTTTTCTTTGCTTGTATTTTGACCAATTATAATTAAGTTTAGATATTCAGTTTTGTGAAACCCGTTTTTGACATAGGGTTTTCATGCACTCGTGTCTGAGATGTCACAGAATGTGAATGTTTGGCTGGTCTTCTTTCATTTGCCGTTGGTTGATCAAGCGGAACTCATGACATCCCCTATCTGTAGTAGGAAAGTACTCAAGCTTCAGTTGAAGATAGTTATGTTGTATTCTTACTTTTCACTGTTATGTTGTTACCCTGTTAATCAGAGTGCAATATGTCTGTCGATTTTAATTGCTTCAAACTAAATAGTTTACAAACCCAGTAAACACACTTTACGAATAAGATAATCGTAACCAAATGAAAGGATAGCTGGATTTGAAAAATCTTCAACTGTACAATTAAATAAATTTTAATGTAGGTATGCAGAATATGCAACATAATAAGAAATAGCAAATAATTAATAATTTTACTTGTTAACAATATATAATAATAATCTTATATATCAGTTCGCATTGGAAACAATTTTCCACTTTCTTCAAACATAATATTTTTTAGATTTATGTCTGGCAACATCTCTTTCTAATTATTTTTCCTCATTTTTTCTACAACAATGGATAACTAAATATTTTAAAGAAGATAAAAACACTTAAAATTGCAATATGTTTTAAACAGACATTATATATATATAAAAAAAACTCTTATTATCAGAAAATTCATGGATATCAAGAAAGCTTTGAACCCCGTTTTTAATATTTCAAATAAAAAATTCAAAAGATGATAGTATTGAAGTGAAATAATGCTGAATAAAACAGAACTATAACACGATACTCAACCAACCAACAGTACTATAGTTTAAGTTCCATAGAACGCAGACTTCTAATCATAGGTTTGCCACTTTCTTAAAAATTTATACAAAACTCTTATTAGTATCATTGTCAAGAGTTTGGCAATGGAGAAAAATTAGAAAAAAGACAACCATTTCCTATGTTTATTTCATTTTTCTATTTTTAGCCGCATAGTCATGAAAAAAATTGGTTGATGATAAAAACTTTCTAACTTTTTTTAATTGCATACAGGTTTCACAAGTAGAAATTTATATCAACTAAAAGTAATATACCATTAACGTTTTGAGTAACCGTTTCATATTCTCATAGTCTTTATTATCCAATGACTTGAGATTGGCATGGTTGATATCGGTATTGCTTTGACAGTTGGGGCAAATATATTCATCTATAGAGTCTGCTTCACTTTGAAGAACACCAACACACCTTCCATGGAACCAATCTTGACATCGATCACAGCAAATGTAAAACCTTGAAAAATAAAACAATCAAATGAATTAGATTTTCTCCCTAATGATTTTTCTTATAGACTGTTAACATGAATAAGAAATATTTGAAAAAATACTCACAAACAAAGACTATTTTGCATGGCAACTAGTTTATCAACCAATAACATTTTGAATGATTTAAGATAAAATTCAAGGATATAAAAACTAGCAACATCACATATTTTAACCGCTACACAAAATACATTTACTTAAGATTTCTTTCTAAGTTCAAGTTTTTCTAAAGGTTGGTTGACATAGTACTTACTATTGGATCAATTGAGAAGAATTTTCAGATTATTTGGATTTATGGAATGTTCATAACATCCTAGCAACAACTTTATCTTGACTCCAATTGGACTCAAAATTGGATTAATATGGGTCCTATGTGAACATGCTCGGAGGGACCAATATTGGGATGTCTAGATTTTTTAATATTGGTCCTATATAGGACCAATATTGGCCTTTAAAAGGCCAAGATAGAGCCTATATTGGCTGAAAAATGAATCTAAAATATTTGGTAAATCTAAAAATTCTCTATAGGGCCTACATTGGTTGTAAAGAGGCAGTAAAAGTTTGGGTGAATCCAGGGCCGGATTTAAGCTTGGGGGGGCCCTAAGCTACTGAAAATGATGGGGCCCTTTTAAGTTCAATTCTATTTCTATACACCTAAAGTAAACTGTCGTATTTTTTATTGCTGAATATTAACATTATATTATTAAAAATTTGATAATATTGCTTGATTGTTAAATATATTGATTGTGATGGGACTATAATGTAGAGCCTTTCTATTATTACACATATTTTTTGAACGAGGAAAAAAACTGAAACTCTTTTTAAGAACATCATAAGTACAGAGTAAAGATTTGGCATGTNCTGGTAGCTACGAAAGCTACAGGATATTTTCATCAGTCAAAAGGCCTTTTTATTGCTCTTTTGGTTAAAAAAGTGAAGAGTAACAATTATTTTATACTTGTAAACACTTCTATTAGATTTTGAAAAGCGTTCACCAATGCAAAAAAGAAAAAAAAAAGTATTTTAGGCTTCAGAGGGCTCCAGCTCCGAATAAAACTTTAAAAAAAGAAGGAAAAAGCTGGATCTGGGGGCCCTTGCCATCTCGGGCCCCCAAGCTACAGCTTATTTAGCTTATACGTAAATCCGGCCCTGGGTGAATCAGACAATTCTACATAGGACCAATATCGGTAAAATAACGGCCCCTTTTACCCTTATTGGGCCAAGATTCATGAATATTGGTGCAATGAGGGCCCAAGTTATTTTGTTTCTAGGGGTATGTTAAATTAAATAAGATTATTTATATGAAAATAAAATCTGCAATTTAAATATGAAAGACTTAAGTAAAACTGAGCATAAGAACATGTGTAAATTTCCTTTACAAAGAGAAAATAATAAATTAATCAATGATTATCGAGTAAACTACTTAGATTTTTACAAATTCACCGGATCATCTTTTGGCACTCTGGGAATGCCAGAAAATAAAAAGATAAAAACAAAAAAATTGCGCCAATGATTAATAGGATGCTTACTGAGACTCATCATATGGTGATCGGCAGAGACAATACAATTCTTCAGCAGCAGTTTCGGTTTCCTTAGTGCAATCATTGCAGACGTATCTAGACATAGATTTTGCTTTTACTTCTGTTAATCCAATACATTCTACATGAAACCAATTGGAACACATGTCACAGCCAACCATAAACCTATATGGAAGAAATAAAATTCATGACATTTGTATTATATCGATGAATAATTGAATCAAGAATATATGCAACATAAAAAGCTTAAACTAACTTTTTTACAATATTCCTCTTCTGAAAAATCTTTTTCTTAATTTATTATTCAAAACAAAACGCTCTTTCTCACACTTTAAAATTCACATCCTGTCTTTTAATCTATTTTAGTTCTAATAATTACCATATTTTGCCGATTATCCCTTTAACTAATTCATGGGAAAGACTTTATCCTGGACCTATTTAACGTACCAATTATAATTACTAAGTTTTCCCTTATTCCCTAAAAAAGAAACATTCTACGGATTTACTTTGCAAGATTTTCCCTAACTTTTATTGAGCACAGCGATTTTGCGTCACTTTGATAACTGTCCTCTGTCTAATAATTATTAAATAAATTTTGTGCCCTCTTTCTCTGCGTAAGACCTGTTTTTATCCTTCCACCCGGCAACAACTTTATATATATTAACAGCAAAAGCATTTAAAAAAAATCAAAATAATTTAGCAAATTTGTCTCTTTTATATTATTCTGCTTAATTTTTGTTTAATTTAGTTTTATTATATTAAATACTTAAAAGCAGTTAATTGAAAACAAATTATAGAAGCAATGCGATATATTACAGTTACCAGACTATCACAAAATATTTTATCGTAGAAATGAACCATTCATTAGATTATTGTTTTGAAAGATATTAATATAGTTATCTTTAAAAAAAAAACTAAAAAAAACTTGTTAAATTAAATGATCTTTTTAAAAAAAAGTATTAAAAAGAAAATACAACTCCTTTGTTTTCTCTAAGATGAAAGAAAAGAGTTGGGTGAAGGTATTGAAGGGAACAAAATGATTTTTTTAAAAATCTATTTTACGATAAATCTATTCTACTTCCATAATACACAATACATTTTTAAGGAATTATAAAATTTTTTGTAAATGCTTGAAAGAGGTATCTTGCGAGATCCTTAAAAAACTTGGGAGCCTGCGGCTACAGCTACAGTACCCTCTCTTTTAACCCGTGTCTGCTTTGAGTAATAATATTTATTTAAGCAATATCTCAGTAATGATATCGTTGGATATTTATTAGATACCATTTAAGTTTAAATCAGTGGAGCAAAGTACAAATAAAAAGTTGAAGAAGAGGGCGGGGGGCGATTGATAATATAACTTAAAATTACGAAGATTTCCTCTTTTTGCAGGACAAAAGAAAAGAAAAAACAGGAAGTATTTATTTAAGAATATAGAGAAGAATTGGTAAGTATGCATGCAAGCAAAATAGAACAATTGATCACCTCTTGCTGTCATATGGTTTTTTGCACACACAATACAGCTTTCTTTGGTCCAGAGATTTCTGATCCACTGCTTTAGTAGCTGGAGCAGTTTTTTGCCTTTTAGCTGGCCTCTGTTCCACTCCACTATTATTTGCATCTTCACTACTCGATAAGGATTTCCTTTTCTTAGGAGGTTGTTTAGCAGGAGGGATCTTATCTTCTTTCACTTCTTTTTCAATCTTCTTTATTTGAACAGGCTTTGGAATCTGTTTAGGTGACTTGGGAGGAGGCTGTTTAACAACTTTTATAGGTTGTTTGGGAGTTGGCTGTTTCACCACTTTAACAGTCTTTTGCTGAACTACAGGCGGTTGTGATGTAATAACTTGAGGAGGTACAGCTGCTGTCATAGCCTCTCGTCTCTTAATTTCAGCCTGTACTTCAGCCTATGGCAAAAAAAAATTATTTAGAGACATTAGCTGAAAGACTTTAAAATATATGTAGTATGTATTTTTAATATTTAAAACAGACCCAATATAAGAGTTTGTGAATTAATAACAGTGATGAATAGAAAGAAAAACTTTTTAAAGGGTAAGACTTGGTTAGTTCGTAGGCTATAATTCTTTAAAAAATATTAAATGTATATAAAATACAAACCTGTATTTCAACTTGAATCTCTTTTTCCATCAAAGCCCTTTTCTTGAGAATATCTCTCCTCAAGAGCTCTGTATGTTTGCCAAGAAGGTTCTGAAGTTTAACATTACTGGCTCTCACTTTTCTTTCTTCAGCAGTTTCCTTAATTTTCTGTTTACGCTGAGAATTTTTTTCTTCTCTTTCGACTCTGTCCACAAGACCTTTTAACACAACCTGGCAGATCGATAGCCTATAAGGATATTACAACTGTAGTTCAAATGGGCATTCTATTTTAATATTAATACGATATGCTTACAACATAGATAGCGATGAGAAAAAGAATGAAAATAAAAATATTACATAAAAAAATTATTTATAAGCTTATTATTTAAAAAATTAAATATATATAAAAAGAAAAAACGAAACTAATAAATCTCAATCATTTTCGTAATTTTAAAATCAAAAACAAATTTTACTACACAAATTACTATCAAAATTACAGATAAAAATAACTTTAAATTTAAAAGCCTTTCTTTTATCATAAACACCAATAACGTTTAACACGTTTATTATCATAAACACCAATAACGTTTAACATACGAAAATAACGTTTTAGGGCAAAGATGACTATTCACGTCTGGTAAGTGGAGTGTCCGCATTGCGGAGAATTTACATAATGGTTTATTAACAGATGATTTAGGTGGAATTAAAATGTCTGTATTGAAAGGCGCCCTTTTCGCAAGAGAGTTCATAAGAGGAGGTTTCACAGTATATATTGATTATAAAACAATTTATTGTTGTTTTATAATAGTCGGGTGATTATGAAACAACTTTACCGACATATAACCTACCGAAAAGCATATCGTTTAAGTAAACAGAATAAAATTTTGTACATAAGCATTATGATCTATCCACTGACTCAATATTGATATCAAAAAAGATTGTGTAGCTCCCATGGTTACATAAAAATTGTTAAAAACAAAGAAAAAAAACCATGGACTTGTCAAAATGTAAAAACAGACAAGTAAAAAACTTTAATAAAAATAAAATTCTTTTTTGTAATTTTTTCTTTTAGCCATCCTAATATTTTCTAAAGTTAATTAAGTTATTTAAACAGTACTGCATTAAATATCAGCATTATTTTTTATTGAAAGAAGTTTTTATCTTTGTTTGACTATATTGTTGAAACCTGCCGAGGTCTCAGGATAATGTACTATATTACAAAAAATGTAAAACCAATAGAATTTTTTTTTAAACATACAATAATAGAGCTAAGTTTTCATTATTTTTTAACAATAACTTAATTTAATGATTAATAATAGGTGGTTAAAAAGAAATAGAGAAATCATATTTTAAATTGGCACCTGCTTTAAGTAAAAGGGACACAGAAAAATCGCTAGTCCTGGGATCCATTGTTTCCTGGTTTCCTATCGTTATTGCTTATAGATAACAAGATATTTATAAAAAAACATCTATGAAAAGGCGAAAACCAGCTTCCAATCTTTGTATTAGGTTATTTTAATAAAAGATATTTTTTCAGACATTATAAGATTTAAAATAATTTTGCTGAGTTAAAATCAAGAGTAATGAAACTATTTTGAAAACAGGTACCTCTGAGTGTCTTCCCTTTGTTCAGGTGTCAAAACTTTAGTTTTATTCTTATCAATAAGGACAGATGTTAAAGGTCCAGTGATTTTAATGGGTGTTGGAGTTGTCTTGCCCTCTGCTTCCAATTGTTTGTGCATTTGTTGTTGCTGATGCCGTTGCATGGCTAGCAACTTTTGCTGTATTTCAGGTGAGGCATGCTGATTCATTAAAGCTTGACGAACAACTGCAAATTAAAAGAAAAAATAACATTATTATTATGTCACGTAAGTCTAGTTGTTTTACAATAACTTTAACGCTTTATTTTTCAAATTTGAAATAACTGTTTTTAAAAATTTTTTTATATTAACCTAGGCATAAATAAAATATAAATAATATAGATAAAATATTAACCTTAAAATATTTATGATAAAAAAAGTATACCAAAAATAGAAAATTTAAAAAAAAGAGTGATGTTAATTAAATTTTCGCTTGTTCCAATTGTGAAATTTTGATTCAGCGGTAATTCATGCTGCAAAGAAAAAGAAGATAATAAAAAATAAATTTAAAAAAAAAACAGATTCTAACTCCTTTTCATGTAGAAAACTTATACGATTTTCCTTTTTGAACTACTACTTTCCACTAATTTTGACATTAAGAAGTCTAATTGTTCTTATTTCTTTTCTAATTAAAAAAAATCAGATTATTCTTTATTGATTTATATCAAATTATTCTTCATAGATTTATATCAGATTATTCTTTATAGATTTATAACAGATTATTCTTTACAGATTTATATAAGATTATTCTTTTAGATTGTTAGTTATTAAAAAAAAAAAAAAAACTCAGATTGTTCTCTTATAATCGTGTGTTAACCGAAATGTAAGTTCTGAACGAAGAAAAAAATCAGGATACTTATTTTATCAAACTAAACATCTTTTAATTAATTAAAAGACATTTAACTAAGAAAAAAACTTTTTGCATAAAAATTGAGGTTAATNCTTTGGTTCAGTTGTCACTTAAAACAATGATATTATGCCAGAGATTAAGCAAATACTAAATGCTGAAATCGCAGTTATTTTGCACTTAAGAGATGCTAACATCAAAAGTAATAAAGAGGAAAACACAGCTTCAGGTTTATAAAACTATAATCAGACCAACTGTTATCTATGGATCAGAGACGCTCCACCCAGAAACAAGAAAAAATGCTGATTACCTGGGAAAGAAAAAATTCTTAGAACTATTTTTGAACCTGTCAAAGATAGTGACCTGGGGAGAAGGCGATACGATTTCGAAATTGCAAGACTATTTAAAGAAGCAGATATAATAAATTATGTAAAAGCAAAGAGAATTCAAGGGCTAGGACACCTTGAGAGAATGGAGGAAAACTGAGGCACTAAGAAGATATTCAAAGGGCAGTGCCAGGGCCAAAGGAAAAGAGGAAGGTCGGTCAAAAGATGGTTTGACAAGGTGGAAAAAAACCTTAAGACTCTAAAAGTTCGAAACTGGAAACAAAGAGCTAGAGACAGGCGACTTTGGAGAAAAATTGTTAGTGAGGCCATGATCCAACATGGACTGTAATGCTAGGGAGTTAGTTAGTTATTTCGAGCTAAAAAGTAATTTATTTACTTACAATCATTGTTGCATTTTGCTGGACATTGTTAAAAAATTTGACCCAAGTTGATTAACCTTTGCCAATATTTTCAATTCATTCAAACACTAACCTTTAAAAGCTTTGGGAATTATACTATACTTCAAAAATAATGACAAACATATCAAAACGTTTGCGTAGTCAAAATTCATGATAGCGAGATTTGATTGTACCATTAATACAAAAATATGATTAAAGAAAAATTATTTTAGAATATGATAGATTAGTTGACCTATAAAAAAAATGCATACTTTGCTGTTTGATTGCATTTGTTAGGACAAACTGCTGTGATGTAGCAACGCCATCACCTGTTTTGTTAGTTACAGTAACAACTTTTGTTGGACTTGTGAGAATTTGTTTTGCTTCAGTGGCTGCTACTTTCACTGGAGCAGGTGGCAAAATTATTTTATTGGTTTGCCCAGCAACTTGATTTTGACTAGACGCAACAGCAACTTGAGTAGTAGTAGATGGAGCACCAGGTTGAACAACAGTCCCCAAACCTGGAATAGTCACAGCTGCAGTTTGAAGTCGCACCTGCTGCCCAGCAGCAACAAGAGGTCTCACTATGGAAAAAAAGAAGATAGTTTAAACAATAGCAAAAAACAAGTTACCACTGAAAAACGGTATATGTGGCATATCTAAGGAGGCGGCGTTCCAGTGTCCCCCCCCCTTTTACTACTTCAGCTTGAAAATTTGATTTTGTTGAATTGATTCCCCAAAATCTCATTATTACTCTTTATCTTTTGCAGCAATCGATTTTTTAAATTTACAATCAATAATTATTTAAAGAATTAACAATGTAGGTGAAAAACACTTTGCAAGAATTGTAGCAATAACACACCAGATGCTCTCATTTTTAACCAAAGAAGCCCTTGACAAATTCCCTTTCCGCAATCATCCCAAGAATAGTCTCTAACAAGGATCGGCAGAAGTATTATTCCTCCTTTCTTCTGCTATAGGCGTGAAGAAAAAAAAATGAAAGTAAAATACGCAAGTCATTCTCTAAAATGAATGAGTGGGGTGAGACGCTTAGATGAACTAGATTGAAGGTCAAATTTATACCCACAATAGGTCAACTTAAAATTTTTACTCGTATATTTCCTAGACTCGGAAGTATACTGATTTCGAAATTTAGAGATATTTGAATACAATTATGTAACAAGATGAGCACGTGGATAAAAGAGGAATGCATGAATTCCTTTATTTATTCTACATTTAACTTTTATTTTAGCGATTTTCAGCTGTTTAATCATCTGAATTATTTATATCTGGGATATTATAAAAGAAATGATGCATTTGAGATCATTTTATGCTTCAATTTTGAGCAAGCTGAGACTTTATTTTTCATATCTATTTTTAAAAATTACTTTAAAAGGTTTTTAGCTGTTTATCATTTGATAGGTTAAAACTTTAGAAATGTAAAATTAACAAAACGAAATGGGATGCCTTGGTATTGTTTTGTGTAGTACAATTTTGCCCAAAACAAGATTTTATTATTATTTTAATTATTGTAAGGAATTTTAGCTGTTTAATCATTTGATTTAATAATATTAAGGTATTTCATATTACGATAAAGCGACACTCTATATGTTACTATTTTGATAACTAATTTATATTAACTTTAGGTTCTTAATCATTTGGTCTACATAAATTTCAGTACATTAAATTGTTATTTATTAATGTAATGTATTTATAATTGCGTTGCACAATTCTGTAGGTGTACACTTACGCACAATTGTACACATACAGTTTTGTGCACATTTGAAAACTTATAAAAATTATCGAAATACATAATTTCTGATTTTAAATAATTAATTTATCGTTCATTTAATAATTATTTTAAAGATTTTTAAACATTTTATCACTCATTTTGTATATAACTTGTTACTTGAAACAGAAGAGTTAACTTAACAAACGATAACACTTAAAAGTTTGCGTGGTGTATTTCGCAAAATTATGATAATTAATATTCATTATCTATTCTATTTTCCAAAATTATAGTTACACCAAAAAGGTTCCATTTGAATATAGAGAATAAATAAAAAATAAAGTAATAAGAATAAATAAAAAGTTTAGAAAAAATACATTTAAATACTGTTACGATTAAATGATGTAATGATCAAAGAAAACAATGATTTAAACATACAAATGAAGAAGAAAAAAATCAGACTTATTTTGATAATAATAAACATTTGATACTACTAACAGCAATCACATTAAGCTAAGATTACTGTATATACATTTTTTTTAAAACTTTGATATATATATATATCTTTGTTATTTACAACTATAGAGTTTATACACCTAAGTCAAAGTAATGTTAAAGAATATTTAATTCTAAATAAAACAAATTATATGCATATCAAAGTATGTTTCTGATTTTAAAAAATATGTTCATAAAAATTAAAACGAACCTGTTCTAGTAGCTTGTTGTACAATAGATGTTTGAGGTCTGATTTGGATTAATTTAGAAGCTGTTGTAGTAACAGTACCAGGGGCTCCAGAGGCAGAGACCAAATTTGGACTNATTAGTGTATTACCTCATCGTTTTTTCTTATTTTTAAGATTATTTACAAATATATTTCTTTTTTAGTTGGATTTAACACTAAAAAAAACGGCTTTTTGTAGCGATTCAGAAAACCGGAAAAATCAGTTATCCGGAATAGCGATAGTCCCGATCATTCCGGATAATCGGTTCTCTACTGTATGTTTCTGATTTTAAAAAATATGTTCCTAAAAATTAAAACGAACCTGTTCTAGTAGCTTGTTGTACAATAGATGTTTGAGGTCTGATTTGGATTAATTTAGAAGCTGTTGTAGTAACAGTACCAGGGGCTCCAGAGGCAGAGACCAAATTTGGACTAATAGCAACAGGTGACTGAAACTGAAAACAAATATTCAAAACAAAACCATTATATTCAATTGTCATCAATTTTTAAATGCAAGTATTAAAACAAGCAGAAAACAATAGTGCAAAAAATACTTTTTATTGGTTTATAAAATATATATATAGGCAGTTCTCCACACATAGATTGGGAAAACTTCAAATTTGAATTAAGTAAAATTTTGTTTTTGTGTCATAAAATGTAGAACCACCTTTATTTCTTAGCAAGCATTTAACGTGTTACTTATAAGGATGCTTAAGTTTCATTTAATTTAAAGAAAAATACTGCAACCAATGAATAATTTTATTCTAAAATCTACTTAAGATCATATAAAAAATTTTAACTTCTGTTTTTAATTACATATAGTATATATATATATCTACAGTCAAATCCCGCTATAGTGAACCTTCAAGGGACTAAAATTTCGGTTCACTATAACCAGGAGTTCATTATATCCGTTACGCAGGCAATTTCACTAATGGTTCCTAAACTCCTCTCTTTTATTACATAATATTCATATAAATGACTGAAAAATATTATGTAGTAGCAAAAAATGTGTTATTTTTCATCACTCTTCGTCTTGCGTACAAAAGAACAAATTTGTAATCTTTAGCTGATGAGCAATTCTCAACATCAGATATGGAAACACTTCCCGACTCTCAGATAATTTTTCCTGAATTTCTGTTATTCCGCTTTTTAAACCTGTCTAACCTGCCATTCGAGCACATAAAAGTAGTTTCTATAGATGGTTTTAAAAATCGGTATATGTATTTATTTTGAAGTAGAAATTTCAAAATTATTACAAAGAAAATGGGGGGGAAATCAGTCGAAGACAGAAAAAAGTTCATTAGATCCAACTTCCTCACTTTTTTGATTCACTATATCCACTAAAAATAACATTATAGGTGTAAAGCAAAGCACGGGACCGAGCATTTCGTTCACTATATCTGGGAATTCACTATAAGCCGTGTTCACTATAGCGGGGTTTGACTGTATATATATATATATGTGTGTGTGTACATACATAAATATATATAGATTTAAAAAAATATAGTCCGGACTTTGAGAAAGAGTCCTGAAAATAGATTTACAGATAATAGGTCTTTAAGAGAAAGATCTAAGCAAACATTATTTAAAAAATTATCAATAAATAAATGATACATAAATAAATAAATGATAAATATTAATGTCTATAAAATAATGTTTTGTCATTAGTTAAATGATATACAACTCACAAAAGAATATTTCATATAATAAAATGAATGGAACTAAAAAAAAAAAAATATTAAAAAGAAAAAGGAAGTAGAGCAATTTGAACTTTCTCTTTCATGAATAAGGACATTTTTTTTCTTTTCAATTGAAAATTTAAGTTAGCAGGGCAAATAAACACAGTTCAAAATGGAAGGGAAAAAATCCCCCTTTTTGTTTAATAAAAAAATTTATTAAAAAAGCAATGAAATTCAAATTACTTTTTACAATTTAAACCATAACAAAGCATAAATGCTTCTTTTAAACATTATTAATATTCAACTTCATTAATGTCCATAGTTTATGTTTTTCCTTAACTGTTGGTCTTTTACATTAGTTAAGTGGATCTCTAAATTGATGTTCATGTGAATTACTTTATTTAATGCATTTTAATTTTAAAGAATCCAATTTAAATGAAAAAATGTTATTTAAATAAAAATAATTAAGCAAAAAAAAATGAAGATTTTCATACACTACCTTGATTTGTGCTGTCTGCCCTTGGGAGACAAGTTGTATAGTTCCAGGAGTAGCAGTTATATTTGTAAGATTAGTAGAGGGCATTGTGATGGACATGGGCGTGGAGGGTGCGGATGCCAGAGTAGCAACAGCTGCACTTGTAGTAGCAGAAACAGCTGGGGCTAAAGATATAGCAGGCCTAAGAGCTGGTAGTTGCACAGGTTGATTTTGTTGTGGTGCCTGTATAGCAGGTTGTTCAGGTTGAGTTTGCTGTACAGGCAAAGTAAGTAACTGTAGCCTACCATCTGAAAGTCTGATTAACTGTTGACCTGCAAAGAAAACATTGACATTATATTATTTTAAGGTTTAGGTAAAATTCTTGAAAGTTGTAACACATCAAAGAAAAGCAAAAAATTATTTAAGTAATTTTCTTTCAAAATCATACTAACCAAAATTGATAAATATTGGGTAGTATGATTCTAGTATGAATCTTTATACTAGCCAAAATTGATAAATAGAAGGGTCTAACCATTTTTGTTCCTGTAACAATTGTATTTATTTATTTATTTTTATTATTATAAATTCTTTCACATTTTTGAAAAGTTTATGAGCCATGAGTAAAAAGTTTATGACACAATTTTGTAATCAAAAAATGGTCTCCAATCCAAAAAGATATTCTTTTCCCCGAAGAACGAAAATTAGACAACAAGATGTTAAATCATATACATTTAAAATTGCTGTGTTAAATCAGATGAACTGACAATTAAATGGAAATAAGTTCAACAAAAATAATAACTTTAATAAAAACTAAAATAATTTACAATATTTCTAAAAACGGAGATTTACTTTAAGAAATTAAAAAGTCTAACTTAAGCATAAAAAAAATCTAAATATCTTTTAAAACCAAGCATTGATGTATAATTTATAACAGGTAGTGATTGTTTTTGTCACATTAGCTGTATATTATTGCACTATGTTGCAATAATAGACATCTGATGCTCCATAATATAATAAATTTTAACTATATTTTTCACGAAATAGCAATCAATGAATTTAATTTCAATACGCATGTTAACTGAGAATAACTGGGCAAAAAATTGAAGTTGATAAAGGTTGGCTTTTTTGCAACCTTGACAGGTATGCAATTGAAAAAACAAAGTGCTTCATTGTCTAAAAACTATTTACATTTTCTTTTCTTTTTTGCTAAAATTATCAACACTAAAACAGAATTTAAAAAACTGATAAAATTAAGTTTTCGACTTTTTTTTCAGTAAGTAGTTTAACACACAAAAATATCAAAAATAAGAAAATCTACAGCAGAAATTTAGCAGGTAATTTTCATAAAATTAAGGTTTTTGGAAGAAGGGGAATTTATTATCAGAGATTGAGAAAGTTTTTATTAATAAAAATGGCCACTTAAATTATATTCTACTGTTTAACATTCTTAGTATATGTATTTTTTAAAAAACATCTAAATTTTAAGGTTTTAGGGAGGATATCATCCACAGAGAATGGGAACTAATTTATTTTATTTAATCTCTAGAATAAGTTTAACTTCTATTGTAACACTTAATTGATTAAAAATTATATTAAGAACAAGAGTTGAAATTCAATATGGAAAAGAACCTGAAATTTACAGTAATAGGAAGGAAAATGTCATCCTCAGAACAAAGAAACAACAAAGATTTAACGGGGTGAACAAAATATTATAAACAGGGAAAGCAAACTATTTTTCACTATTAAGCAAACTATTTTTCACTATTAATGTCCTTTTTTTCTAAGAAAGGAAAACTTTTTTTTTTTTACTACTAGGATCAATAAATTTAATTGTAACATTCATTTGCTTAAAATTTTTAAAATATATACTAAGCACTTAAGTTCTATTTAGAAGTTTTAAAACGATTTTTTTTTGGGGGGGGGGGAGCATATGTTTTCCTTGTGGAAAATATAACAGATTTATATCATTACTAAAATCTATATCAGTTATATTCTTGCATTTAATTGCTTGAAAATCAAAACAATACGTATAAAAAGATTTCATTTATTAAGTATCTAAAAATAATTGTAGTTGGAGGGGGGGGGGGAAAGCATCCTATTTGAAAGTAGGAACTTTCTTGTTTTCTATTGCTACACTTCATTTGACTATTTTCCTAAAGTTTCAAAAATTTTTAAATCTTTTTCATTATTTTCCTAATTTGAATGTACTTGATACTTATTTAAATCATTATAATACACCAGTATTGAAAAAGAACATATAAACAAACCTGGCAATAATCCACGCACTTGAAGTTGACCATTAGGACCTTGGATTAATTGAATTTGTGTACGTATAGGAGTTGCAGGTGTTGTAGGATTCTGAACAACCGGTGGCCTCACAATCTGACCACCCAACTAAAAATCAGTAAACACATGAATATGGTATTACCTTACATTAAACAATGCTAAATGCAAATAAGAAGTAACAAAACAATCAGTTCAACTTTTTGACAATGCTTCAATTTATTCATACAAACAGTAGTTTTATTTAACATATAAAAAATTGACCTATTGCGTTTTCTTTCCATAAATTGATGCAAAATTCACTCTCTATTATAAGGAATCTTTGTCGAAAATTTATACCTTTTCAAATAAACACCACATAATGCAGTTTTCGGTAAAGAGTAATGATTTTAAAAGTCACCCCATACTATCATGATAGCACTGGGTAAAAACTTTAATTTTCTTTCTGTATTTCAGGAGTAAAAAGTATCTAACTCTTATATAAAATATAAATACAAGATTTATCAATTTTTTTTTTTTGAAATTTCATTCTCGTTTTTCCTTGATGATATTTTAAATTAGAATTCGAAACGAAAGGAGCGAATACAATGAAAATATCTCCAAAATTCGTAAATAAAACAAAATCTCTATCTATATAATGTAAGCCATCTATCCCTTCAATATTTTTTTTTTACGCCAAACAACTGCTTTAATGTATTGGGTTGATGCATAAGTTCCCGCACTTTTCTTAATTTAAAAAATTTGCGTTGAAGATGAAATGTTTTGGCATAATCTTTTGTGTTATTCGAAATAGAATTTTTCGCTCTATAAAATAGTGTATTTCACCTTTCTGTTGACTTTAATTTTTGTTACTTTTTAGAGCATTTAAATGGAGTAATTTCAAATGCTTTACGCGGCCTTTCGTTCAATAATGACATCGAATTACGGGCTTGGTTGGACGACTTTTGCGAGACGCTTACGGGTAATTTCTACCAAAGTAGCATCGAAAAACTTGTTGAACATTGGGAGGAGGTCATAAAAAACAACGGAGTGTACATTATAGATAAAATTGTTGTTATTTTATATCAAAAAAATAAAAATATAATTTTTAAAAAAAAAACGCCGGAACTTATGCATTAACCCAATACTAAGGAATCCCATGGACTATACAATTGTTATATATAATAATGCAATAACAGAAATTCATTAACAAGAGGAAGATCAGAGTTAATTTTAATATTAGGTCGTTAAATTTTTATGACAGGTAGATATTTAATCGAGAACTGACAAAAAAAATTTTTATTAAATTTTATATTATTTTTTAGCAGACAACACTGATAAAATTACACTGATAAAACATACATACTAAGGTGGAAAAAATTATTTATCATACAAAAAGGAATCCAAATGATTGTAAACTTAAATAAGGTTGCTAACAAGTAAAATATTCACGGTTACAGTTCTTGAAGAACTTTCAAATACTTGATTTCATGTTCTTTAGCAGAATCACTCTCTGTTTTAACATTTGTAAGACTTATTTGTTGTCTTTCTCAGAATTTACCCATCATCATCTAAAATAATTGTAATTCAAAAGCGCCTTTTACTTAACACTTTAACGCAAAACTTTAAACAGAATAACAATGGGGCGCTGAAATGCTGCTACTAAAGACCAGAGTTGGCAAGTGTTTGACAATTTTAAACCATGGTTTTAACCGTCATGTCAAAAACCGAAATCATAATATAAGGATAATTGTTAGCAATTATAAAAAAGAAGTATTTATAAATAAACATACATAAAAAATTGCAAATGATTAATCCATTACGTTCTTGAATAATTTTAATATTATACTCTCTTTCATTTTGACAATTACTGCCAAAAGCCCAAATTTTGGCTTAGAAAATAATTTTAAAAAAATGTGTACAATTGAAATTTATCAAATCTTTTAATTTGTTAAATTATTGAAAATAAAAATACAAAAACACTCTCAGCTTAATATTAAAAATACTCAACAATCATTTTATACATTGTATGTAAAATCACTTTTCATTTACTCCCATTTTAAATCCTTTTTTCCTTAAAGCATGTGATTACAAAAAAAAAAGGGGGGAGGGGGGGAAACAGTTTTGAAGTTCTCTGCACAACTGAGTTTATTTTTCAGTTTTGCATGAATAAGATCCAAATTCGAAACTATTCTTTCAACTGATGCTGAGTTGCATAGTCTAGAAAGTAAATGTACTAAAGTTATTCTATCATAAAATAACACACAACTAGCAAATTTATTCCAATAACTGCACTAAATATTAATAGTAATTTAATTAAACCCTTGAATTGATCGATTGAAAAAATTATTGACTTATTTTTAAATAATTTTAGTTAGTTCACAAATCAGTGAACTAATTATACATTAATAATATAACTAACACTAGTTCTCGCATTGTAAATATTTATGACAATTGTTGGCAAACACTTTCATTTCACTAAATTTAAAAAAATCTGCATAAATTGTAACATAAAAGAATTAAAATCAATATTTAGACTGATAATAATTAATAACATATAGCTAACATTTGTAATATTAACTGAATAATGATATGGATCTTTAAGTATTAAGATTACCTCTTAAAAAACCAATTAATAGTTAATAATTTTGGCAAAATTTTTTATTTGTGATGTATAATATAAATAATAATTATAGAAATAATAAAAATGCAAGTATTATGCATGATTTAGTACCTAATAAAATGTCCCCAATTTCAAAATAAACTTGCCAGATTTTCAACACTTTTTGACAGGTTTTTAACGAGTCGTATTAAAACCCCAACTCTGTTACGGACTATGCTTTGAAAATCCTGCCTCTACAAAATATGCCTTGCATTACCGTAAAGATTTGCATCACTCAATATTAAGATCCTTTAATAAAATAAAGTACAATCCTACTACAATTGTGAATAACAAGAAAAGAATTATTTTTTCAATACAGAATTCTAAAATAACAAAGCTTTAACATCTAAATTTGATTCTAACATGACACCACAAGAAGAAAACTATCTGAGACATTACTTAAAAATCATTCATAATTTTATACTTATTGCCAAAATAATCTACTTACGGTCAGAACAGTAGGCCTCGCAGGAGGATTAGCAGAATTTGGAGTTCTCACAACCAAAGGTGTCTTCGGCAATATTGCAGTCGATACCTTTGCATTTGTAGTTGTAAGAGTTGCTAATGATTTCACTACACAAAAATATTATATATATCAGGATTATTTTATGACAGGCTAAAATAGATTTTAGAGTAATAGTTCTAAGCCATTAAAGTTATATCTCAGAGAAATTTTAGTTTTATTTAATAGAATAAACAGTATAAATGATATTAAATAAATAATCAAAGAGATCCAATCTGCAATATTCATTTTATTTTTATACATAAATAATTTTTATTATACCATACAAATTTTTCAGAAATTATTTTGTTACACTAAATAAAAATTATGGTTCACACCAGAGCAATTTCCTAGTTTATGTATAAATAATCTTATATTATGGAGAGAATAAATTAGTGCTTAGGTGAATAAATAGCAGTCAATCCTTGCATAAAGTTATCCGTATAAAACAAAAAAAACTTTTCTCATATCAGTCATTTGACCACCCCCACCTAAATGTTTATAAATATTTACCTTCAGGTTTAGTTGTTCGGCTGGTGAAAATCTTACGAACACCTGGATACGTTCTGGTGACAGGAGTAGTAGCTGTTGTCGAAGCCCCGGAAGAAGAAACCAAAGAAATCTGCCAAAAAGTTAAAAATGCATTTATACATTATTCAATACAGTTCAAAAATCTAACATTTCAAAAGAGAGTATGAAAAAGCAAGGTTGTTAAAATAATATTGAGGAAATTACTTGGAAAAAAAATGATAAAGAAAACAATTACAAGGCTGTCATTGTGGCGAGACTTTAAAAAAAAACTCGCTTGAGTTGCTTTAAATATGAAAAACAGCATCCCTCTTCAAAAAAAAATTTCGCTCAATAACATAAAATAACCTAAATAATGCTGATTTTTTTAGATAATTTTATTATCTAATTTTTTAAAATAAAAAAAAGGTGAGACATATAATTAAACCTATTGCAAAATTAAAAAAATAAATAATCTCACTTTATTAATGAGTCATTAATGCATTATTAATATAGATTACTTGTTATTAATACATATGTAATAAATAAAAAAAAAACTAATTTATCTGAGCTTCTTTCAGATTTAATTCAGATGTCAATATAATTCAATCAAATTGCAAATTTGAGTTTCGACTTATTCAATTTGCGGCATTGCCGACACCTGCAGTGGATCAATTTCGTGCAGTCTTTTTATAAAGTGAAATTTCTTGAAGGGGCAGTTTTTACGAATTTGACTTTCGTGAAAGGACCTATTAAATAAAATTAAACAAAAACTCAAGCAAAACTTTAAACTAAGTTAGAATCAATTTTTTTATTTTTTTTAATTATTGTTCTGTAAATAAAACTTTCTGAATAATTTAACAAAAAATACAAATACTGTAAAATCTAAGTGAATTGAAAAACAGATACTAAATTTATTTATTTATTCCCTTTCCTCAGATTTTAATTGAAAAGCATAAAACATAATTGTTCATTTAATACCGATTTATATTGCTTAATTATTAACATCAGATTTAAACAGATTTGATCTTAATGTAAATGTAAGCAAACAGTGTTCCCATTTATGTGTTTTGGAGTCACCTATACCTAAAAGAATTAAACCTAATTATTATTGTCTAAAGCTACATAATGGAAAAAAAATTTTTACTCTTGAAAAATTTAACAAAGATCAATAATAGCAAAAACAGATATAATTTTCTTTTAAAAAATAATCATTTCCTCATAGTAAAATCAGAATATGCAATTCTGATAAATATGTGATTGAATCTGTGTTTCTTTTGCACATGTAAATGCACAAATATATATATAGTACTTGAGCAAAATTGGATACTTCTAAAGAAATGTGGTTCAAGATTTTTAAATGAACTAAACATTACCTGGGGCTTAATGCAAAATATAGAGAAATGAACAAATGCAAAGATTTAGGAATAATTCATGCCTGAGATACATTGTAATAAGAAAATATTAGTGGACAAAAAAAATTTTAAAATAAAGAATAGATGTAAGAACGATCATTCGATTTTCCACGGTAGAAAAAAAAAGTAGCATTCCAAGGTTATATTCATGCTTTGAAAGAAATAATTTTTACCTTTGTGACAGTAGAAGAGGTAGAAGATGTGGTAGAAGTAACAGAAACAATTTTTGCAGTTTTTGGATTAGGAGAGAGAGTTACTTTATTGGGAAGTTTAGTTGCTTGTCCTGAGGATTCAAGAAGCCTTTTCTGTTGAAGTGCAAGTCTCTGTTGAACAAGTTGAACTTCCATTTGGGCTTTAATTTTTTCTGCACTCTGTTGGGCATGTTGGTGTGCTTGCCGGTCCCTCAAATGTTCTCGTTTCTTTTTCTCAACCCTAAGAAAGGAGATGAAAACATATTATTACAGCAAAATGAAACGTCCAAAAGGTTTTAATTGCAACAATGAATGCAAAGAAAAAAATTTACATTTCACCAAATTCTCTGATTTCCCAAAGTTCAAGATCTTCTTCAGGTACCCAACTTTCAGATACCGTAGGTAGTCTGTTTTCAGGTGACTCTGGTCTTCTACGTTCTCGCAAACCACTTCTTTGAGGAGTTGACTTCACTGAAATAAATCACACAATACTTTACACCAGGTAGTTAAGAATAATTATGATGTAGTATTTCTTACTAACTTTTTTGAAGATCAACTTAAAATAGTACTAAAATGCCTAAAGAAATACTAGATTTGTAAATGAAAAACCCATTTCATTTATCATTTCGTTCTTCTATTTTTAATCAACAAACACCAAAAAAAAAAAAAAAAATTCACTNAAAAAAAAAAAAAAAAATTTACTTTAATTTACAAAATAAATCATTAACCCATTAATATAATAAGTACAAAATTATTCAAACTTTACAATAATAAAATTGGCTTATCAAAAAAAATGAAGCATTTTCTGGGGAAATCAAAAAAGAATAATTTTATTTAAAAGCAATTTCTTTAAGTAAAAAAAATAAAAATAAAAAAACTAAAATTAACATTTTTTGATCTTTAACAAAAATTTTATGATTTCTTGAATTTCAAGTTAGTTATAAATAAGTTATAAATTTTTATTAGGTTTTTCCTGAAGCTAATAACGCCTACTTCTTATGATATAGGGCTTTATTATTCAGGAGTTAGATTCAACAAAAATTATGCCATAAACAAATGACTAATACATAAGACACGCCCGAAGATTCTGCTAGAGTAAGCAAAATAGAACCCAGCATATTCATATTTTTAGCTACCTTCTAACAAAAAACTGGTCCTTATATAAAATACAAATTATCTACCTTAGTGCTATCCATTGAATAGTATTCAAATTCATAATTCTTCTATATATTGATAGACAGAAGAAAAAATTTACAATCGAACAATAAAACAGGAACAATAAAAGCTTTTATTAATGACTGATTGAACACCTGCATCATGGAAGAAAAAAAATTTGGAAGAAAAAAAATTTGTCTAAATTTGGGTAAACATAAATATGAGCACTCATAACAAACATAGCCATAAAAAATAACAACAACGCATAAAAAATTTAGTTAAATTGGGAAATCTAATAATGAAATTAGTAGATACAAATACAGTACAGAACCCGTTATCCGGAAATCAGAAAACCGGAAAACCAAAAAACCGGAACAAAATGCGATAAATTTTCCCACCATTTTAAAAAAAAAAAATTTTTTCCTCATAAGATTTTAGGATTTTTTTTTTTTTTAAAGATGTTCACCTTACCATCATTTTGGAAATAATTATTAGTGTATTACTTCATCGTTTTTTCTTCTTTTTAAGATTATTTCCAATTTTTTTTTTTTTTAGTTGGGTTTAACAATAAAAAAACGGCTTTTTGTAGCGATTCAGAAAATCGGAAAAATCAGTTATCCGGAATAGCGATGGTCCCGATTGTTCCGGATATTCGGTTCCCTACTGTATCTGTTTACACCAACAAATACAATCAAAAAAATCCAAATAACTTACCTCTAGGCTTAGTAGGGAGATCAATGGGTACAGTTATTCTTCGTACAAGATATTCAGAACGTAGGCCAAACATTCCAACATCTCTCCGCTGAAGCAGTTCCATGGTTTGCACTTCTGTTTCAGTGGATATTGTATTTGTGCCACTAGGTGGAGGTTTAGCCTGAACATCATCCCATCGAATGCAGGACCAAATCACGCGCAACTGCAATGAAGCTTCATGAATGCTGAACAATGTCTGTGTTCTAAATTGCCAAGAAAGCTTAAAGGAAGGTCTAGGACAGGTACCATAGGGCCAAATATACTGGTTATTCTTGGCATTATAATTAAAAGCAGACGTCTCACGCTGACCAGCTTTTCTAGATAATCGTCTCACTTCATGAGGAGGCAAAGCAAGAATACTTTTGATTTTTGAAGGAGTAGTGAACCGGTTACAAGGTGGCAAAATGCCTTTTCCAATCTTTTTAGGTTTCTTAGAAGTTCTTGCCTTCCCCAAGAATGCTTTTCCCTTTGTACCTTGGTCGATTGCCGGTTTAACGACAGGTTTTGATTCCTCATCTGCAGCAATATCTTTAGCCTCAATAGAAGGCTTTTCATCTTCATCCATTTTTTCAATTTTAGCAGCAATTGGCTGTAGTGGAGGAGGCGAACTACGATTCAATTTTTCATTGTTTATTAAACTACGATTTGAAATTTGTTTTATTACGACATTGGAGCCATCCTTAGTTATTATTTTCTTATCAAGATTGGCAGCATTTATTAGATTGAATTTTGTAACAGTTTGGTCGGAGCCTTTCCTAAATATAAATACTTGACTCGATCTAAATGTTTTACAGGATGGAGAATAGCAATTGCACTGACCTAATTTAGATTGGGAACTTTCAAGCCTACACAAAGGAGAATAGCATTTTCGTGGAGATCTGAACATAGATGTAGCTAACTTTAAAGGGGAATCCTCTGATGTTCCAATTTCACCATTTGCTAAAGCTTTAGCTAGGGCAGTTTTAGGTTTGAAAAAATCTCTTCTGCCGAGCTTGTTTGCGATTGCACGGGATATCTCAGTTGCGGTGGCACCTTTCTTGACAAGTAATTTCACACTTGTTTGAGATGTTAGATTTCCAGATTTGACTTCAACTTTAACAAGATTTGATGGTGTTTTCTTTTCATCTGGTTCAGGGGTTTTGGATTGAGTTTCAATAGTTTTAAGCCTGATTTCTAAAAAGTCATCGAGTTTACTAGACTTTGGTAATCTCGGGTATGTCACCCTAACTGATTCAGATAAACCCTCAGATACATTAATTAGATCCACATCCAAATCAGGATTCAAACAATATGATGTGAGAATGCCTGCTTTATGTGGAACATATTTCTTTTTAATGACTGGTTTTTTATCTGCTTCTATTTCAACTTTTGGCTTAATATCTTCAACATCAATGTTTTCATTTTCTACGCTTGAATTTAAATCCACTTCTGTTTTTATGTGAGTCAAATCAGAGTAAGAATCCGAAACTGGAAAAAATCGCTCCTCATCTGGAGTTGAGTCAATGTTTCTTAAGTATTCTTTAGTATCTAGGACTTTTGGTTCTGCTCCTTTTTCCACGACAACCACTTTGCAAGGACCAGCTCTCAAGCCACTTTCACAGCAAGGTTTAAATTTGTATGTTCGAGTGTAGCTAATATACCTCCAACCTCCCTGGCCTGTTATACGATACTCCTCGCCTTTTTGCTTCCACACCTAAAGTAATTAAATTAATCATTTAAACAGAATCAATTTCAAATAGAAATCATTTAATCTGAATTTAGTAACTCAAAACATACCTGATGCTTTAATCCCAAAGTGTATTTAACCCATATAGTTCTGTCAACTTCTTCTTCGGGACCTTCTCGTTTTTCCCTTTTTTCTTGTTTTTTTCTTTCTTCTCTGTCAATTGCAGTTGTGCGTTGAAACTTAATATGCCCTAATAGACATATTTTTTAAAAATAAGTCAAGCTAATAAATAAAATAATCAAAATGCCATGCAACAAATTTTACTTAGTTGTATATAAAGAAAAAAACAATAAAACTTAACTACACAGGATACATCACATAACTCTCCAGTACCAGGAAACTTAATTGTCCAAAGGAAGCACTTATTAATTACTCCAAATAATAATCCTCCGCAACAGATTCTTAATTTGTTGCTTTAAGTTAAAGGTTCTCTAAAGTAAGATAACTTGGTAAAACTAAAAAATGACAAACCTTTTTATTTAGTTTTAAAATTACAATTAATTTTTACCTAATTAAGTTTCAAAAGCATTATGCATATAAAAAGGTAATAAAACCTAACAAGAAAAATGAATTAACATAGATAGGTATAATCTTAACTTCTGTATTAAAAATAAAAATAATTTTTTTTTTTTTAAATTTTTCTTTAATATTTGATTTAAGTGAGTACTTAAAGGATTGTATTATCTTTTTTCTTTTATTGATGCTGCAAGCCATATTCAAGGGGGGGGGNCATAACAATTTAATTACCGCGGTATATCATAATATCGTGATATGAAGCTCACAATATACCACAATATCGAAATTCTGACATTGCCCAGCCCTACTCCGCAACAGGTTCTTAATTTATTGCTTTGAGTTAAAGGTTCCCTAAAGTAAGATAATTTGGTAAAACTAAAAAATGTCAAACCTTTTTATTTAGTTTAAAATTATAATTAATTTTTACCTAATTAAGTTTCAAAAGCATTATGCATATAAAAAGGTAATAAAACCTAACAAGAAATATGAATTAACATAGATAGGTATAATCTTAACTTCTGTATTAAAAATAAAAAGAAAATTTTTTTTTTTTTAATTTTCCTTTAATATTTGATTTAAGTGAGTACTTAAAGGATTGTATTATCTTTCTTCTTTTATTGATGCTGCAAGCCATATTCAAGGGGGGGGGGGAGAGAGAATAGAGATATTCTTCCAGAATATCAATACAATTATTTACATTGTATTGCTCATTATTTCAAATTTAAATTTAATTGTTTTTATTTTTAAATTTGTGAGACTGACAAAACAGCTTCCATTTTTCTATCTGTTTACTCCTTTTATTTGACGATTTCCGTGGTCCCTGATCTGAATTTCTTACGGTGGAACATTTAACACAATGCTTTTTAAGAGCAACTGTTTAAATTATCTTGATTAAAGACTACCCAGTTGATATTGGGGGAAAAAAATTCGGCTGGAATCTTGATCATTTTGCAATTCTTCATCATTCGCTGTTTTCTCTTGTCTTTGAGGATTGGATATTTCTGCAAACTTTTGTTCTAACAGTCATGATTAACATTATCTCTTTGAAAATATGTAACAGCTGACATGTTTTTGGTCATTAAACTAAATCTTACTGTCTGCATTGCACTACAGTTTTGGACATCCATTTGCAAAGATCTTGGGTCTTTTTTATAAATCAAGATGCAAAATGTGCTTTCAACAACAGGTCCATGGAAACAGTTTAATAACTTTCTTAAGGCAGGAAATTCATACAATTAAAAAAATTCATTGAAATAAAAAAATGAACAATAACATATCCTTGAATATTAAATTTCTCTCACAAAATTGCAAGAATAAATAACAACAACAATAAATAATTGTATAAAAGAATAAAAAAATTACATAAAAGATAATAATGTGAAACAAAAATTCTCACCTAATGAGTCATTCCACACAGTTGTAAAGAGGACAGGTTTCATTACAGCCTCCAATATGCTCAATGCCAGGGCGAATTCTTTGGGCAAAGTACATTTGTTAACAGCTTTCAGCCAATTGCTGCGATGAATGGTCCAATAAGCATGCAAAAGATAGGCTGGTATATTGTTCTCGAGTTGAAGAATCGCTTGTCTTAATGTTGCAACAGTAAAATCCCGACCTCCATGAGTGGTTCCTTGCCATTTGAATTCACTGGCCGCAGTTAAACTAAATTTATGAGAAAGATGGCGTCGTTTATCTCTGTCTTCGGCATGCTGGTGCTTATTAAGTGCTAACGTGTTGGAGTGAAACTGGTTGGCATAACTTTTCCCAATACTCTCGATTCCTAACTTAAAGAGTGTAGGGCCAGATGATGAAGAAGAAGAACTCTTAGAACGTGTTGTCATGCGAGTAATCTCTCCATCTTTGCTGACAATTATGATAGACTCTTCCCCGTTCTTTCGAGTTTTAACAAAGTTTCCAACAAGCGGTTTTTCATTTTTATCCAAAGCAAAATTCCTAGGCGTAATAGCTCCTGTTTTTGACCTTGTCACTATTCCACCTTTCTGGCTGTCAGCTGAAAAACAGTTATCTAAGTTTGCATAATGATAATAATAGGGTGAAAAAATTAACATCATTAATCAGGAACATATAAATTCATAAAATAGCCACACAAAAAAAATTTTTTTTAAAGGCAGTCAGTCTCAATATCAATATAAAGGTCTTCTTTAGACAGAAAAAGAGATTTGGTTCTTCCATTAACCTATAGAACCTAATAACCTTAGCCTATAGATAGTGTTTAGTGGAGCCTTAGAAAGGGTTAAAGAGCTTCTGAGAATTGGAGCTTTTTTTTTTTTTTTAAAAAAAACCATTAACGATTTTTGAAAACTGTATTTCTATTTAGATCCGATTATAAATCTATTATTTATTTAACATTATGGTTGCTTTTTATGAAGTTAATAAAAGTAAAACGCTCATGCAAAAGAAATGAGAAAATCCTAATTTGGCTTGTTTGTTTCATTTTCACCTTATGTATAAGTACTAAAAACAAATTAAAAACTAAACTAGATATAGCTCCAGGAGTGAAAAACCAACTGTCGAACATAAACTCGAATTTAAAATGCTCGATGATAGAGTGAAAAAATTTCATTCCTTTTAAATATTTTCAAAATAAAAAAAAAAGCTGATTGATGCTTTATTAATGTGGTTGGCATAACATCGAAAGAAGGTCAATCATTTTGAATTCTCTAATGATTCCGTGATGATTTCCCTAACAAATGGGAACCACCGCTACAAAGGATTATATGATGGCAATTTCATTATTTATTCAATCACAAATTATTAAAAATATTTTTTTATTTTACTTTCAAATTGAAGTAAGCTTCTGTTGACCACAGTTACTCAATTCTAAGGATCTAAGTCTTTTTTAAACATTCTTTTACTGATAATACAAATAATCAAATTGATATTCATCAACTGTAGTTTCTGATAGGTACAAAGTCGAGCATATTTGAAAATCAAGTCGAAAGTTACAGACCTTTTATTAAAATACTAACAGTTTAAAAGTCGTATATACAAAATTGCTTCTTAGCTTAAAATAAGCAGGTATAAAAAATTTTATCATGTGGATTTATTCATTATAAATACAAATCCTTTAATAAAACAAATGTAACAAAATATTACTCCAGATATTTTATTTATATAAATGTTAGAGAAATTCGCAGGAATTAATTATTTTAATATCTTATAAAAATAACTCATATATACAAGAATAAAGTTACATGATCCATATTTTTAAGTATTCGACAGACCACAGTAACACGACCAAATATATGAAGAGATTGCACAAATAGAGAATAATTGGAAACTAATATTTGTATCTGTAACCTTAGCAAAAATAGTTAAGTTCAGCAACATCTCTGATTTAAAACAATAAACATAACCAGATTAAAAAAAACTATTAAAAACCAAACAAAGAATTTTTTGATTCATAACAATATTCTAAATAATTTTTGGAAGTAGTCAATAGTTATATTAAATTATGCTTGTCAAATTTATTGATCTACTATCAAATTCAACAAATAAGAAGGAAATTAAATACAAAAAATTTCATTACAAAGATAAAGAAGATAATACGATATCATATTCAATACTTATCTAGAAATTAAAACAAAGATGATTTCTTGTTCTAGAATCTTTTCTCTTGAACATAGTTTACATTTAACGTAATGTAATTAGCACTAATATAATATTTAGATTTTATGGAACAAATATTTTTTGGCTTTCATATTTTTATTATTCTATGAGTTATATAAAAATTATTTCAAAAATATAACATTACAAATCTTATAAAAACAGTATAATTTTTTAGTAAAATTTTAATCATTCAGTACAAATATTTAATTTCACTTGCAATATTAATAATAAACTAAGTATTTCTTACTTCCGTAAGTCACCATAAAGATTTTTCACAACACAATAATGAAGAAACATTAATCAAATCTCCACTAGCGTATAGCGAAAAATTTTGGAAATTAAGGATTTTTAACACACCAGTAGATGTTCAATTAGTTATTTTTCAACTTAAAGGTTAATTCTAATAATAAAGCCTTCAAGGTATTTTATGGAAAAATAAATCAAACATTCTTAATATTCATAGCCTAATAACTTATAAACATGAAATAGAAAGAGAGGAAAAGCATATAAAGTAAAAAATTTAAAGAATGTGTCTGGAAAAAAACAGCTATCATTTTATGAACAAGAAGCTTATCACAAAATAATTTTTCCATAAATACTACTCAATATTCTGCATAATATGTACAGCAAATTTTTAAGATTCATGAGAATTGATTAATCATATCAATTAAGTGCAACGGATCAGAAAAAATAGCACTTGAAATTGTCTAAGGATAATGGAAGGTTGGTAACAAAGTTTTTACTCTAATTACCATTTAAAAATAAAGGTGTTGTTAAGAAAATGAAAAGCAGACAGCAAAACTGATAATAAAAACTGCAGTTTAATCGACAAAACTCTAAAGCAACTAGTGAATGATCCACTAATGTCACAATGAAAATTCCAAATCGCAACTTCTTGACCTCAACCTTTAGACCAGAATCTAGAGATTTAAAGCTGATTTTCAGCATTCATTATACATTTTGAAAAAAAATAAAATTTGTCAGCATGTTTTATTTTTTTATTATTAGAGTCTTTAAAAATATAAATTTAAAAGGGACGAAAATGGAAAATGATTAAAGAGATGAAGATAAAAAATTATAAAAATAAGAGGAAAACCAAAATTCAGATGAAAAATTTAGTAACTAATTTAAAGTGGGTAAAACTTTCAGAAAAGAAAAATTTATAAAAATAATCATGAAAATAAAATCAAACATCAATACCACCACTAATTTTAAAAAAATCAAAGAACAGTTTTTTTCCCCCTCCAAAATAAAGCATTTTGCATACATAACATGAACCAAAAAATTCAAAATAACGATATAAAAGAAAAATAATTAGTAACAAATGATGCAATATTTTTACACCTAAATGATTTTAAAATTATCTTACTGTCATCATCCTCTTTCTTCTCCAGATGAATAAAATTCCCTTTTCCGCCTTTGGCAAAAATTTTCAAGTTGACACCTTTCTTTGCGTCAGAATCGTCTAATTTCTCCCCACTTTCAGAATTGTCTTTGGACATGTCTTCAGAATTGTTCATATCAGAAGCAGGATTACTGGATTCCTCATTTGATTCCATGTTAGCATGATCCCCAGCCTCATTTGATCTACTGTTTTCATCACTATCTAGATTGTCTTGTTTGATACTTCTTAGTTTGCTATCCTCAGAATCATTGAAATCATCACTATTTTCAGGTTTTGGATCATCTTTGATACTGATCTCTCCTTCCTCATTGCTTCCGATTTTAACTAAATATAAAAAGTATCATTTAACAAAAAATGAAAACGTGAGACATTTTTCTAACATATAAAGGAATTAAAATTTTTCATGATGATAATAAAAAAGTAAAAATTATTTTTAACTAGCTGAATCACCCGTTCTTTGCACAGGAAGAATTTAAAAAAAATTTATTAATCAGTGCTGAACAACAATACGAAATCATGCACAAAACTTAAACGCAAATACCGACATTATAAGCGTTATCAAATGCTTTTTACGATTTCTCTAGGGGCGACTAATTTTTGGTCCTGTGTGCTTATATGTATGTACAGAAATTAAAAAATTCATTAAAATGTTTTAACATAAAATTGAGATACAATGTGAAAGTAAATATAATATTAATCAACATGAAAGTTGTTTAAAAACTTAAAAAATAGCAACATATAAATTGTTTAAGTCCTACAGTTTTTTCTTTTGGGACAAAAGAAATAAATATAACAGTTATCAGCCTTTGATATGAGCAATTATAAACCCCCAAATTTAACTTAACCGAATTAACTTTTGTTTTTTTTAGAAGATTTAATACATTTCCTATATTTAGGGACCAAAAGATATGCTTCAATAACAAAATTATAAAATATTTTGAATAAATCAAGACAACCCACTATCTTTAAAATCAATACAATTTCTTTTAAAAATTCAAAACGTCAGACTACATTAATGTAACAAATAAATTTTTAGATAATATGTTTACTTAGTAATATAAAAATCACAATAGCTCAATTAAGTAATATACTACTTATTTAGAAGAAGGGAACATGCAACAGAAAAGAGACAGCATGCGAGTAAAGGCTCTAAAAGAAAACATCCTTTACCAATAGTAACTGTTTTAGTAGGTGTGCCTGCAACAGTTGTAGAAGAGGTAAGATTATGTTCCTCACCTTGATCACTATCCATCATATTAGAATTGGGAGAGCATAAGTTACCCCAATGGTTTTCATTGCCAGAATCAGAAAGCTGTAATATTAGTAATACACATTTTAATACATATACATAAATACAAGCAAATACAGTAGAAATAGATCACTTTCAAATTAATAAGTCCATTTCAGTGATTACAGAAGAACATACACAAATGTTAATAGTTAACATAAAACAATATGTACACTATTGTATTATACAAAATGGGCAATATTTTAAATAAATGTTAATTAATTTTGGAAAAGAAAATGGAGTTTTTATAAAATTTTAATTATTAAGTGAAACTACTTCTAAAAACTGCTAAATTTACACTACTTGAAGCTAGTGAATAATGGGATTACTTAAGTTTAAAATTTGTTTGTAATGACACCGTAAAAAATATCCAAACTTAAAAACATGGAAATGGTCAAAAATAGGTCAAATGGCACAGATTTTGGATGGAACCAGTGCAAATCTAATGCATCAAAATTGTTGATGCAAATCCGAAATTCGATTCCCATCGTAAAAGTTTTTTTTTTAAAAAATATCTTAATTTGAAAACGAACTGAAAAGGGTGGACTTAAAAGATATTTTTCGCGAATTGAAAAAGTAATAACTGAAATTCAAAATTAGTTTGTCAAAATTATCACAATTTGAAAACGATGTAAACTAACAATGAAATTGTGTCAAAAATGTGACAACTTATAAGCACAAATTGCATGTTGTAATAAAACTGGATTAAGCATATCAATCAGAATTGTGACTTGAAGGGCCTTGAAGGGTGGGGAAAAGAAAATGACATGAATTTATAATTGTTGTCATAAATTAAAGCAATAACTTGGGTTATGACTTTTTTGATTGAAGTCAAAAAGTGAGAACTTATATTTTCACTTTTTCTACATATACTTTTTCATATTTTAAAAACATACTTCATACTGTTATCAAATCCTATACAACTGAATTTGAAAACCCATGGGGAAAAGGCTTAACTTAAATGCGTTAAAATAGAAATCAAAGAATTTTGAAATATTAATATTTTATAGTTGTAAATTAATTATAGTTGTATTTTAATAATTATGTAAAAGAACACATTTCATTTTAAATATTTTGTAGCATTTCTTTTCTTTAATTAACCCAAAAAATTTCTTTAGAGCTGCTTGAATTTCTCCTGAACCTTGTTCATGTATGTGATCTGAATACTTTGCACCCATTGAGTTTACAATTTAAATAGATTGTATGCAATAAGTGGAAAATGTACACATATTACACATAATTTGTTTTATAGATAGGTAATGTATTGTAATTTGGCATAAGTTCTAATGATGTACATTATTTTTTCACATATTTTGCTCATTTAAATTAATTTTTGTTTGCAAAAAATCAGATTAATGAATCCTTTTTACCTCCTATAATTTTGTATAAAAAATTTAAGTCAACTTTATAAAACTAAAACATTAAGCTGATAATTTCAAAAAACAAGTTAGTTTGACAAAAAAAAAAAAAAAAAAAAAGAATAAAAAATGTTTAGAAATAATAGGAGAAAAACCCACTAGGTGGGTATAAAGAAGAGTTTTTTCAAGTAGCAACAATCTGAAAAAACTAAGCAGGTTTTTCTGAGCTGAGCCTATCTTGGCAAATCTTATCAAACAATCTTATAAAAGAAAATTTTGCACAAAATTCCATGAAAATTACTGCTCAATTCAAAAACTTACACTAGATGCCATTAATGCAGCTTCTCTTTCAGCTTCAGCTTGCCTAAGTCTTTCCTCTTCTTCTTTAGCTTTCTGAATAGCTCTCTCACTTTGGATTTTGGCCAGGGAAGCTACAATATTTTTATTTTAATTAACTAGAAAAGTTACAATAGTATGCAAAATTATGAAGCAGTACATTTCAGCAAATAAATAAGCTTTAAAACCAAAAATGACCAGTAACAATAAAAATTATTTTTAAAACAATATTTCATTCTCCGCCAGAAAGGGTATATGTTGATAACTATAAATGACTATTGACACTATAAATGAATATAACTAAACAAAGGTAAAAAAATAAAATATTAACGTAACTTTAATATAGTCACAAAAAAATGTGGCAATATTTATGCTTTATCATAATTTAATTACATTAAATGCTAAATTTTAAACATCAGATTTCTCCCAATGAATAAAAAGGGCAGGACGCTTCCTCTCTGAAAAAGGCACTGAGTTTTGAAATGCACTCACTTAACACAGTAAAAAATGTCTAATATTATGTAATAACTGAATCTTATCCTCAACAATTTCTAAATTATCCTCTTATACTGCTTTATGTAGATATCAAAAAGTAACTATCTTTCCTTATCAAAATAAGAGAAAAATTTGTAATTTATAAACATAATTAAAGGCACACTAAAAGGTTATCTCTGTGCATACTTTCTTTGCAAAAAAGGTATACTAACAAAAAATGATTTAATTGATAAAAAAAATTTGAAGGCTTTTTTCTACAATTAAAACTGAAAATTATGAGAAAATGAACATTGAAAGGTTTTTTTAAAGGTATTTCGTTTTTTTTTTTTAAAAATATAGTTTTAAAATTTGGTGGGCGCCCTTCAAAAAAATACTTAGGAAGAACACTGCATTTATGGACCTATAAGAATATATTTAAAAATAAAATAATAATTATTGTCAGGAGTGAAATTCCAGCCATTATTTTTTGTATGTCACAAATCACGTAACTCGTGCTTTAAAAAAAAAAATAATAATAACACTTTAAATTAATTTTAGAACAAGATGCACCAGACCAAAATATTTTTTTTAAAAATTGTTTCATTGCTTAGAAAATAGTGAATGCACACATTTCTAATGTAACAATTAAAATTTGTTAAGAATTAAACAAATCATATGAATTATCATTTAACAACTGCACACTGCAAAACTAACAAAAATTTACAAAGCAAAATTAGGATTTGATTGTGAATGTGATAAATTTCTGAGACACAATGTAAAGTTCAAAATTTGTAAATTAAAATTCTGTTCAGAATTTTTGAATTGTAATTGCTGTGCACCATAGGTTTCCAAAGTTAGCACTGAGGACTACTAGGGGGGCGNCATTAAATCAAAAGTAGTTATTCAGGATGATTTTTTTTTTTTTCTTTTGGCACACTACACCCTAACTATAAAAAGTCACAAACTCAACTAACTAGGAAACAAAGACTTAATTGTTTTCCTACCTTTTAAGGAAAATTAGGATTCCGCACAGTTTAAATTTTTTTCCCTCATGCAAACAAATCAAGTCACCACTTTCAAAACCTACCATAATTAAGTGGTAAACTGAAAATTTTTACGGGTGCTCTGAACATGTAATTCCAAAATTATATGAATAAAAAAAATACAGAATATTAGTTAATTGGTAAACGATGAAAAATTGATAAAAAGAGTCCAATAAAATAAAGAAAAAAAATTTAAAATGTCCCTTAATTTTTATTTTTAATAATCATTCAATAAAATTTCAATTTTATAATTTATTCATAAAAACAACAAATGCAACGAAATTTACAAAGCAAAATTAGGATTTGATTGTGAATGTTATAAATTTCTGAGACACAATGTAAAGTTCAAAATTTGTAAATTAAAATTCTGTGCAGAATTTTTGAATTGTAATTGCTGTACACTATAGGTTTCCAAAGTTAGCACTGAGGACTACTAGGGGGGCGTTAAGGATTTTTAGAGGATCAGTAATAACTTATAGGAATTTTTATTAAATATTGTAATTATGAATAAGAAATTTAGTTTTTCTCTTTTAAATTTTAGTTATTTTAAGTTAGTTTAAATTTTTTAGTTTCCTTTTTATGGGAGCACTTACAACTTTTACACAGTGTCCATTTTCACTAAAAAAACTGTTATTATAAATTTTTTGGCTAATAATAATTTTCACTATTACATTGTGATAAAGTATAGCAGGACAAATTTTAAAAAGTTGACAAAAAAAAAAATATTTTCAGGAGGCACTAATAAGTTTTTGTCTTTGAAATTGAACAATGATTTAAAAAAGACTGGGGAAATAAGCTTTACACAAAAGCAACATCAACAAATTTACAAACTTTACACTGCATGATAAATGATTATAAAATTAAATTTTAAAAAGTTGAAAAGAGAAACCAATTCTGTCAATTTACTGACCATTTTCTACTTCTAAATAAGATTTCTTATTTCCTTTAGCACTGTTGGTTAGTTTTTCTGTGATATCCATTTGACGCAATATTTCATCTTTTATATCTTCTAAAGCTCTAAACAAATCATATTCCAATTCATTTTCATCCAAAGCTTCCATGAGCTCTTGAAATTGAAGTTTCGTAGTGTAATAAAAACAAGCATCATCATCTTCTCTATAATATGAAATATATATAATATTAATTAATTTCAAATGAAGACAAGAAATAGCACATTTAAAAGGCTGAAAAGTAACTACTAGTAAGAACTTTTGCTACAGGTTAGTTGTAATATTTTTAATAATCACTATCTCTTAAAACCTGTGGCAACTTTTTAAAAAATAAAGTTAAAAAAATTTTAATGTTATTGATATTAATAAATCAAGGCATTACTTTTGAAGCTTTTCTCAAAATATGTAATCGGTTTGTTATTGTGTAGAAAAGAAATTTTTAGAATATTTATAATAATACCATGTTTATTTAAATAGGGTGCGTAGCCAAATTTTTCAACAAAAAATAAGCACCTTTTAAGCACTTTCAAGCACTCAAAAAATATTTTTAATTGCTTACCAAGTTATCGATAATTGATGGTTTTATTTGCTTTCCAGTGACGAAGACAATAGCGCGTCACCAAGGATGAAATTAACAAGAGAAATAAAATTTTCTATCACTATTATAGAAAAAAAATTTACAATGTTTAGTTGGTCCCCATAAGCAGCAAAAATTCGAGATTTCTCGATTCGATTCTAGAGGGCAGAAAATGAAGTCTGAAATTGAGAATTTCTTGCAAAATGTGGCGGACTTACGCATGAGACAAAAATCCTGCCCATTGAATCCAGCTCAGTATACGCAAATGCGGACCCGCAAGTATTTCCTCAAACATGTAAAACGAATGGTGTTTGGTTATGGACCGACAGTAAGGCGAAATAGATTGGAAATAAATTAATTGTGAAAATGTAGAATAGGACAATGCCTTTTTGCATAATTCATGGAGAAAATTAACATAGTAAAGAAAAAATATCTCATTTTGGAAAAGGGAAAATTAAGCACTTTTTAAAAATACCCATTGAAATCAGCACATTTAAGGGCTTTTAAAAAACGAAAATAAACACCTTTAAGCACTTTTTAAAAATTTTAGGGCTTTTAAAAAACGAAAATAAACACCTTTAAGCACTTTTTAAAAATTATACGCACCCCGTTAAAAAGGAATAATAAAATACACATGGGAGTGCATTTCCAACAAAAACATGGAACTGGCAGACAATTTTTTAATGCCTAACTGTTAGATTTATTAGCAAAATGGACAGTGGCAACCACATGGCCACAACAAAATTTGATAGATACCGCTTACGGGGCATAGATGCAGTGTTGCGTGATGATGGTGGTAGCAATTGTTAATTTGCCCCATAGAAACTACTAAGATCTTTTTCCGTGTAAATGAGAAAAAATTATAATTCTCATCTTTTTTCATTATTATTAGCTGTGGTGAAACACATAATTTTATTAATACACACATAATATTATATATAAATTCAGTACATTTAAGAAAAAAAATTTAGAACATAACAGCACTACATATGCAGTGTTGTGCTAAAAAAATTATTTAAAAAAATCACCCTGAATAAATTTTGATCTAATCATCATATCTTCACTTACTAAGACATGATCTTAATGGTTCGAGGAGGTGACCATAAATATATTAATAAATTAATACAGGCAAGATTTTATGTTACAAAATCAATTTCTGATCCGAAAAATATTCAGGGTAGCTGCAATCTGCAAATTATGGTCCCAATATTTTGGTCAGGAGAATGATGCAAGATTTTAACCATATTAAGAGAATTTTATAAGTGAATTTAAAAAAGTTTTCTATACAATTATAAAATTTGATTATCCAAAGCAATTTTATGTCTAACTTTGTAATCCCCAAGGAAAAAATAATTTTTCAAAATTATTTATAAAATTATTCATAGGTTTTTAATATTTTATTTAACAATAGTAAAAAAAAATTGCGAATAACAAAGGAAAATTAATTTTTTATGATTTTAAGAAACATAATTTTAAGTGGCAAAATACAAAGTTTTAGCAAAATTGGTCAAATAGTTTGTGAGAAATTGAACTTTAAGCCTGACTTTTTGAAATTATATTCCGTAAGAATTATTCAACGAATTTCCTTCGTATTTAGCAACATAATATTCTTTAAAATAATGCCATAAGTGATTGCAAGAACTTTCCATTTGTCTAAAAAGTCCTTGATATATGGCGAAGTAAGCAAAAATTAAGATTACATTATGTGGTCCAAACTTTACCATAAAAAAATCTGATCATTAAATTAAAAGTAGTTATTCAGGATGATTTTTTTTTTCTTTTGGCACACTACACCCTAACTATAAAAAGTCACAAACTCAACTAACTAGGAAACAAAGACTTAATTGTTTTCCTACCTTTTAAGGAAAATTAGGATTCCGCACAGTTTAAATTTTTTTCCCTCATGCAAACAAATCAAGTCACCACTTTCAAAACCTACCATAATTAAGTGGTAAACTGAAAATTTTTACGGGTGCTCTGAACATGTAATTCCAAAATTATATGAATAAAAAAAATACAGAATATTAGTTAATTGGTAAACGATGAAAAATTGATAAAAAGAGTCCAATAAAATAAAGAAAAAAAATTTAAAATGTCCCTTAATTTTTATTTTTAATAATCATTCAATAAAATTTCAATTTTATAATTTATTCATAAAAACAACAAATGCAACGCAATATGAAACTATATACTTACACAACAATTCTTCGACATAAAAACCAGTACTTTCGACCATGACGATCTAGGCCAATATATTCTTGCCGACTTAAAAGCATATTTTTTTCTATTTCAGAAATACAATCGGTAACACCTGGAACCTATTGAAAGAGATGCCAAAATGTTATCAAATTCACGTATTAAAACTGAAAATTATCGTAAAAATTAAAAGTGTTTTACCTTTATTACTACATCAATATTTATTATATTTTTATAATTTTAATTCTGATGCAGTGGTGGTATGTTTTTCCAATGAAAAATTTTAATTTAAAGACTAATCATTGTACAAATTAAAATATTTTTTTATTATAACTCAAATAACAAAAGATAAAGATGATAAAAAATCAGTGAAGAAATAAATTATCTAAAAAAATCATCATTAGCATAATGGATTATAATATATCACAAAGATAAAGAAAGGTGAAAGGAGAATGATAAATTCATTAGTTCTGAAATAGCTTAACAATATCTTTAGTCAAAAAATGGTGGAAAGACGCTTTTTCTTAAATTGAAAATAGAAATAAGTTTTTTCAAATTTAGGAAAAGAGGTAAGCACTTGAACATTTTAAAAATAATGTTTTGAAACACAAATGACTGCCTGTGTCGAGAGAGCAAAAAAATGTCTGTAATGAGCGGGGTCGTTTTGTAGAAGTGTCCGTAACGTGAGGTTTCACTGCGTACATTTTTTTTTTTTTAAAAATCACAAATTTTGGATACTAACTACATCTTTGACGTGCTGATAAAAAAAGATGGATATAGAATCAACAACCAAGTTAAACTTTATAAATAACAAGGTTGGTAATATTACTCGGCCATTGGAAAAATTTAATAAGAAAAATTATAAAAATTATTAATTTATACAAATTTTTTTTTCATTTGGCAAGTTTAATAATGATGTTGAATTATGTATTTTATTCAATTAATTTTCTTAATATCAGAAAAATACAGTAATTTCAAAATCATTATTTATATATGATATGGGGAATTTGACAGAAACATTTCTGCACATCAGTACGGGGATATTTCCATATTGTGAACTGTCGCAGCAACTACAATCACCAAGGGACCAAACAGATTTTAAACTTAAATTTTTTTTTTTTTTTTTTTAATATGTTTGCCTGGGGGTGGTTACAAGTTACACCTTTTGAGTTGGTCCCATGCTGTGATTTTTTTTTCACTTTTTTGTGGGTCAATTTATTAATTTAAATAAATTTTTATATCATTTGGCAAGTTTAATTATGATGGTGAATTATGTATTTCATTCATTTAATTTTTTTAATATCAGAAAAATACAGTAATTTCAAAATCATTATTTATATATGATATGGGGAACTTGACGGAAACATTTCCACACATCAGAAGCGGATATTTCCATATCGTGATGTGTCGCGCCAACTATTATCGCCAAGGGACCAAACAGATTTTAAACTTAAAAAAAAAAAAAAAAATTTAAATATGTAGATGTTTGCCTGGGGGTGGTTACAAGTTACCCCTTTCGAGTTGGCCCCATCCTGTGATTTTTTTTTCAGTTTCTCGAGGGGCCGCTGCCGGTCTTGGCAATTATTCTGCCACAGATCACGATATGGAAATCTCTCCATCAGTACAATGAGCTATCTAAATTCGATAATCGTAATCACCTGTCTTTTGTACTTGCAATGAAACAAAAAATAAATATAGGTAAACAGTTAGTCAGTTTTACACAAGTTAGTCTCATTCTAATATTTTTTTAGGTTTTGTTTTATATCACAATCTGAATTACTCAATTTTAGTCAAAAATATTTTTAATACAATACAGAAAAAATTTATACAAAATTTTTAAGGTTGAGATTCCTTTTTTAGCCTTATTCCAGTGATATTAAATATTTCATCTAGAGGAATAAAGAGGATATTTAAACTTATTTCATGTTCAAAATGGACTAGTAAATTAATAAAAATAGACTAAATATATGACAAAAGTGTAGTAAAATTATGTAATATATAACCAAAAAATATGACAAAAGTGTTGTAATTATAATTTTCCATTAGCCATAAAAAAATAAAGTCCACTTCTCGGTTAGCCACATGGAAGCGAAAAGTTGTCAAACATGTAGAGTGCCACCAACTTTTATTTTTTTAAACACTTAAAAATTAAACAAAATAAAAAAAAATTTAACCATACAAAGAAAAGTAGTTTAATCTCCTTGCCTTGGCGCTCAACTAAAGGAGAAGTATAGAGGATAATTTGTTATTCAATATTTATAATTTACTGTTAAATATTTTACTTACACCCATTTAATTTCATGCTTATAAAAAAAAACAAGTATTTTTAAAGCTGCCCAAGACATAAATATATATGCTTTAGCTCCTCAAGAGTTTTTTTTTAACAATGTACAGACAGAGTGGAAAATTTCCATAGACAGCAGCCAACGAGAAACAAAAAAAGATCACAGAAGGGAACTGACTGCTTTTTTATTCATATTCCATAAGGCAGAGAATAATCAGAATTCTCCCTAGAAATAAAAAAGGACATGGTGCTTCCTATTCTAAAAGAGCAGTTAGAGTTTTGAAAGAGCAATCACTTAGCACAGTAAAAAGTTATCAAAATGTGTAATGTGTAATAGTATGAAATAATTGAATTTGAACCTCAACAATTTTTAAATTATCCTCATATATTATTTTGAGTGTATATTTCAAAAAATAATTCTCCCTCATTATTAAAATAAGAGAAAATTTGTAGCTTACAAAAATAATTAGAAGCAAGTTAAAAGACAATAAGTTAGTGTTCTGCCTAAGCGTTTTTATCATGTCAGCCTGTCCTACTTGCCCTTTGAACCCAATAAATGCACCCTATTTGTCCTTTTTATAAAAATAAGTTACCATCCCTTAAAAACACTGCCTTTTAGAAGAATTAACTGTTGAAATAATAATTACACAGAAAAACTATCCGTGTTTATAGGTTTAATTCTGATTACTATTACATATATTTAATTTGTGATTATCTTCCACTAGTTAAATTTTAATGAGATATGCCTTTTTTCAAGGGGAATATTAATAAATTTTTGAAAAAAATAATAAATAGAAAAAAAATTTTAAACTGTTTATAAAAAAAAAAGCATGCTGAGATTGTCCCTTAGCATGTCTTTAATTAATATTTATAAACTACAAATTTTTATCTTATTTAAATAACGGGTGAAAATTAATTTTTGAAATTTGCACATAAATAGTAAAGATGGCAACATACAAGTTGTTGAGGATCAAATTAAATTATTACACATTTTGATAAATTTTTATGATGTTAAGTGAACCCTTTCAAAATCTCAAATGCCTTTTTCTGATGAACATAAATTTTGTTAAAAAAAAAAAAAAAAGTAATATTTGCATTGTTGGCAACTGCAATCGATGAAACAGATCATAATACGGATTTATTCCCCAAAATATTGGGAATNCATACAACTTGTTGAGGATCAAATTAAATTATTACACATTTTGATAAATTTTTATGATGTTAAGTGAACCCTTTCAAAATCTCAAATGCCTTTTTCTGATGAACATATATTTTGTTAAAAAAAAAAAAAAAAGTAATATTTGCATTGTTGGCAACTGCAATCGATGAAACAGATCATAATACGGATTTATTCCCCAAAATATTGGGAATAAAAAGTTTTTAGCAATTTTTCTGAAAACTTATTTGTGTGGACTTACAGACATACAATTGAAATTTTAACAAACTAAATAGAAAAAAATTAATAAATAAATTCTGTGCACAACAACAACAAGAAAAAGTACTTATATACACATTAAGGGTGGTATAAAAAAACCTAATACCCCATCACATACAGTAAGTCTCTATACCACAATACTGATAGACCTATCGTCACATCAGAATTGATTAAAAATCACTAACAGGATATTTCAGTATCGTGATCTGATACACCAACTACAATCACCGAAGCACCAAGTTTATTTTAAACGTGGAAAATATTTTTTTACAAAAAAAACATGTAGAGGTTTGCCCGGGGGTGGCTACGAGTTATTTCTTCCAGTCGGCCCCGTTCTGTGATGTTCTTTCTAGTTTCTCGGTAGCTGCTGCCCGGAAGTTGCCAAGACTAGGTGATTATTCTGCTACAGATCAAGATACAGAAATCTTCTCGATTTATTATTTGAAATCGCAGAATGAAACAGATAAGTACTACTTTTATTTTAAACCTGTTACTGACAATGTTTGAATATATTAAGAAAGTTAACAAAATAGGACTTACTTGATTAGCTCTACAAACAACACAAGTCCAATCTTCAGATGGAACTTCTTCTAAAGGTGGATCAAGGCACGCTAAGTGATACACAGCTGGACATGTCTCACAACACAATAAGTCACCAAGTTTGTGACAGGATCGACAATGATCATCATGATAAATCATACCTTCACAAATTAAATCGTCTCTCGCAGGAGAAGTTGTTAAGAAATTATCACATAAGAACTCTAACACCATTAAACGATTTTCCACAATTGTAAAAGGATATTCACAGTTTTTTACCACATGTAAAACATCCTTATATTCGGGATCACTCCCTAAATACATTTGTAATACAGCGGGCCAGGTCATGCTGTCTATTAAATAAAAATGAATATTTACGGTGTCTCGCATATCTAATGGTGCAAACATAGTGCCTTGTGCTTCTTCTTCTCGAAGAATAGCTTTAAGGAGCATGATATGAACCTCGGACAGCAAAGAGGTCTGATCGGGTGATGACAAAACACCACAGAATTCTTCAAATAAAAAAGGTGTTAGTCTTAAAATATTTCTAAAATGTCTAAGCACTTCATAGACTCCTAAAGCTTGCATTAAATTATCAGTTGTAATCAACAAGTCATCACTAGATTTCGGGAGCATCAATTTAGGTAACTCTCTTTCTTGAAGAAATACAGGAGTTGATGCTCTTTTAAACCATTTCTTTTTTGCTGGTGTTGAGCTGGAAATTGTGCTAAAACTACTTTGAGAATATACACTTAATTCATCGGATTCAGCATAACTAGCCTCCGATTCATTATCTTCATCTTCGATCTCTTCATCCCTTTGAAATTCACTGTCATCACTGGATATATTTTCATCATATTCTTCTTCTCCATCATAGTCTAATAAATGTGATGAGAAAAAATTACGTCCTCGGCTTGATTTATCACGTAATCTGCCTCGATAATGCACATGAGACCCCCTACGAGACGGACTACTTTCACCTGGTTTTGTTGATAGTCGTGAACCATGATTACCCGAACCAGCGTATAAATATCTTGGTTTTTTTTGTAAATTAGATCTATGCGAAATGGCTGCTCTTTTCGGAGGTCGTCCGCGACCTCGTCGGCCTCTTCCTGACATTTTTACTAGATTTTATCAAAATTCATAAATATGATCATGATTGATTGATTTTCACACCAAACTTGATTGACAAGGATGCACGCAATTAGCGTTTACTTTTCAAAATGAAAATATTTATTGACGCCATTATTGCCATAGGCTTTCGGCAGTCACGTGACCTAACTATGACAACGTCGAATCTAATTGTCAACAAATTAAGTCGATTTTATAACTTCAATTCAGTGAAATACACTTCACAACAGTACTAGAACACATTTTTCTCAAAAATAATCATCTTACTTACATTGAAATTCAAAAATAGGTTTAATAGGATAGCAAGGGTAAAGGAGTTCCTCTGTAAGTCCTACTAGCGTGCCTGGGCATCTAACGGTTGCGAGAACGATCTTCTAGTTGGCGGGTAACAAAGAGATTTCCAGAATTATACTTCAAATGATTACCAATCTGCACAGTTTTTGCTCTTGAGATCTACAATGATGTCAGTAATGATGGTTATTCAACAAAAATTTTACAATATTATTCAGATTTCGAAAATATTTTTCATCAACAAAAATAACATTGCGCCATCTTGGATGCTCTGCACAATTTCGCCAACCAATCAGAGATCGCGTTACATATTTTTAACTAAATAGCCATTTTAAAATATAAAAACAATAATTCAGGATGCTAGCAAATTGTCACACTGTTGAAAAGTGTGTTAACAATCACAAATGTTTATTTTTGAAGCTTATAATTACACAGTGTAAAAAAATTATGTATACAAAGAAAAACAGACATTGTTTAAAATTAAGTTCAGTGTCGAGATTAAAAATAATCTCTTGTATTTACCACTTATGAAAATATTAAATTTATTTGTAAATAGACATTATACGAATAAATTGACCTTAATTTGTTTAAATTTTTATCAGATTTGGATATACATCTATGTAAATTGTAACTAACACAGTTTTTGCTACTAGTAGTCACCACTAACTTAGTTTTATCGTATGAATGAATCATTGCTTTTTAAGAACAGTAATAATATAAACTTAATAAATTTTATTAGTTTGTAATATATATAGGCCACTTCTACATACATTCACAACATTTTATTATCTAACTGGTTAAAAATAATAACTTTTCGAGCAATGCAACAATCTGAAGTTTTTGCGAACGCATATACGTTGATGGCTGATCTTGTTCAAGTTCCTGCGATTATTTAGTGGATCATTTACCTTCTATTGCAAAGGAAAAATACAAACAAAAATGTGATTATTGGTTTGGAGCACGAGTTTTTATTTTATAAGAGTATAACTATTCACGATGATATGAAATGAGCAAGCAAATGCTTCAGAATTTTAAGGAGCATTCTTACCGTGTGCAATTCACACCAGTCACCCACAGGGACAAATGAGAATCTGATTTGCTGAAATATATTCTCCCGCGAAAAATTAACCAATCAGATTCCCTTTTACCCTTTATAGCGGTCGAAGATGTGAGATGTGGATACAGTGTGAACGGTCGCTTAGATTATGTTTCCACTCCAGGGACAAAGCGAGAAGCATATTAATATTTTGACAGCAAAGGAAAGAATTAATCTCATAAGTGCGTATAATGCTCACTACACGGTTCACACTCTTCTGTATTCAAGGAAAGCATGAATTTTAAATGTACTATGTGCAAAATAAAAATCAATCTCCTGAATAACCTTTGATCCCAATAATCGGATCTTCACGTTCTGGGACTCAATCTAAATAGTTCGAATAATAGAACCTCAAATATGCATATTAATTAATGCAGATGATATTTTAAGTCACGGAATTACACATAAAAACCTAGTTTTCCTAAATAAACATACCTAATTTTTCGACGGATACCCAAAAATATAGGGGGCAGCCGCAATTTGGGAAATATGGTCCTCTTAATTTGCTCCGCAGAAGCGATCCAAAGTTTGAACCCCTTATTGTTAATTTAACTTTTTGCGTATTTCGCTATATCTCGAGACATTTTTAAGTAAATTGAAAAATCCTTGCACACAACTATAAAATTCGTTTAGCCAAGAAATAACTTTTAGTAAAAATTTATTATCTATTATTATTTTATTTAATAAAAGTTGTAAAAATTTTGAATTGTAACCCAAGTAACATATATTAGATAACATTAGAAAACAAGAAAAATCTAACATTACTTTGTATAGCCTTCAAATACTAGAAAGATACAGATAAGTTCGCTACTTCATTTTAATCATATTACGTTAGATTCTATACAAACTAAAACATTATTTCGCATTGGTTTTAATGCTGTAAAATACAAGATTTTGAATTTTCTGCTTTTATCTTGCATAGTTTTTTTATTTTTGGAATTAGCGAGGGGAATATTTTGATGGCAATAGAATAATATGGCGATATAATTTTACTTCATTTTCTGTATTGCTGTGAAGCAGTAAAACAGAACACAATAGTTTTATAATGACATTACTCGCATTATTTATTTAAGAATATAGAAATACTAAGTTCATCCAGTTTCTCCGTCTTATTCCAAATTATAATTCGTGTTCAGCTGATTTCGATTAATGAAAATTTCAAATTTAACTAGGAAATAATACTTGAGTAGCTAAACTTATGATTATTTTTTTCTTTTCTTGATACCAAGCATTTTCTGATAAATTTTATATCATTTTCATTTGTTAATTTTAATTTTAAATGTATTCCTATTTTTCTTTTAGAAATGAGCCAATTTTATCAAAATATCAATTGAATTTGTTAGTTTATAGAACATGTTTTATAAAAATCATTATTCTAGTCATATCTCATTTTACTCCAGTCATTTGTAATTTTACAATTATCATACATCGTTGACATTTTGAAATTATGAAATTGCGTTTTTTTATATTGCAAAAATACTTTTACGAGGGCACATCAGAAATTTTTAACAATTTGATAATTATTCACCATTAGCGTGTGGAGAGTCATAGAAGAAGGAAGTACGGTAGTTTCTGTCTCGATTTTTAAATAGATTAAAAACTGTTAAGTTGGGAATCTATATGGAACTGAAAACTGCATTGAGCATACTTCTAAAAGAATACGCCGTAGAAATTTCAAAAAATATTTTTGACAATTGATATTAAGATACGGGAAAATATCGTAGTGCATTCCTATACAACTGAGAAGAGCAGGAGAGGGAAGAGGGGTACGTCAAGGCATGGAACCGATTTTCTCCCGAGATGGCGTATTCGAGCGTTGTTGTACACGCTCGATGTCGCACTAGAGCTGCGGAATGGACTATTGGCGACGGTCTGGGAAACATCCGTGACTATGATCCGAAGACATGCCATCACGATTTTGATCCTCTGCAGAGGGGATGGTATCCCCTCTTCGATAGCCCAACGACCTTTCCGCGAAGTCGAGCACTTTACGGTAGAACAGTTTAACGAAGACCAATACCGCACACCCTCGGTCACTGCGCAGATTGATCCAAGTGATCACCCACCCGCACACTGACAGCAGCCAGTGATGCTTTACTTCGGTGATCTGTTGGGAACCGTGTCTTAACGATTACTCCACTGCGTCGAGCGTTGAGATCGCGAATATTATGCATTTTCAAAAACTTGTTTTCACAAAGGAAAGCATGTTTTGTAAATGAAAGACCCTTCAGATGAAAATTTAAGCAAGGTTCTTTTCTACATTTTTTTTTTCTTCATAATGTAAATGTCTCTCAGCTACTTTTTAAATATCAAGTCAATCAAAGAACTAGTTTACTATTTGACTATTATATTATTTAAACTATGATACAATATATACTTCTTGTCTCAAATTTGAGTCGAAAAATTCAAAATTAAGGTAATAAACACAATGCTTATGATATAAATACTCACAAGCTAGAGATAGTGTTTAACGACAGTATTAAAAGAAAATTGCTACCGATATCATTTCGAAAAATTTAAAGTAACCAAATTTTAAGTATATTCAATAGTTTTTATTGCGCGACTGCAACATATAAAAAAATTTGATTTATTGGTCGTATGCGTGCCCTCAATAATTAAATATTTTTATAAGTCCTCCTCAACATTTCTGACAAACATAGGAAACTTTTTCCAGTCATTATTATTTTAAATCCATTGAAGGTAAAAGCAAGAATGATATTAATCTTTTACAAATGTTTAGCAGATTTAAGATATTTATTTTCTTATGAGTTAAATTTAGAGAGTGATTGTATATTTCAGTGTGAGTCTGTATTTTAATTACGCTCGTCACAAAAATTGGACACGCTGCAACCATAAGTTATGCCACCGCTTTCACTTAGTTATGCTCTTATGCATGCTGTTTGAAGCAAATTAATATTATTAAAACAAGGACTTATATCATTGAATATTATTGACAAGGGGGCTAAGCGCCCTGTTCTCTGACGCTCACCAACCCCGATGATTGCTGATTCAATTGCTGTTTCTTGGCATGAAATAGTTGAAATTACTCAAGTAAAAATATATGTACTATTAAAGAGCACTTGTGCCTCCACTTCCTACGTCCAAATATCTCCCTTATGATGTTGTTAAGTGAACTTAAATCATTTTTCTAAGTAATCATTTTTTTAAAATAACATTTAAAAGTATATTGTTCGAACAGTTCACAGCTGTAATTTTATATTTTTGCTTGCCAAATGAAAAGATGTATATTTTAAATACAATTTTTACTTTCATCACTTTGTTCATGAAGCTGAAAATTAAGTTCTAATTAAAATCATTTAGAGAATCTCTTTAACCGTAATATACTAATGTAATTTGCAGCAAAAATAATGGTTGTAAAACAGTTGTGGGGGATGAGTACAATGACAACCTTAGTCTATCTAAAAGTACCTCGTTATTGTATCGAGTTAGCATTTCTTATATACCAGTGAATTAATGTTTAATTTTCGTAGTGGTAGTTACGCTACACGGTTAATAAGATCAGGCATTGATTTAAATAATTTTGTCTTAAAATGTAACGTAGAATTTCAATATTCTAATAATAATTATAACAACGATCATTCTAAATTTGGAAGCCAAACAAAATAAAAAACGTAATAATAACAATACAAGTAATTTTGACCTTTAAATTAGGGAAGCAAAGATATTTATAAGAAAGAAATAACTTTATAACTTATATAAATTTGATGCTGATAACAACCAAACCAATATTAAAATTAATGTGGGAAAATTGGATCCCATCATGTGATTTTCCAGCCAATAAAAATGTATTGACAACAACTGAAAACTGTAACACCATCATTAGATTTTTATATATAGTAAAAAACTTCACCCAAAAGCCTATGGAAATACTAACATAAGGGTTTTTCTATGCATTCTTCATCTAGAATATTTACACACAGTAAATTTTTTTAAAAACTTTAAATCCGTTATGAAGGTAGCTGTAAACGTGTGTGATTTCATCTAGGTCCAAGAATAACTTTCATTTTAAATTTTTTAACAAAGTTAAGGTTAATTCAACAATTTACACTAAAATTAACTTTTATGCTTTTCTACTAATTGAATTTCTTTACAAATATACGCGTGCCTCCCCTCCCTTGTTATTCAGAATTCATTTCAGTGCCCCTCGGGATCAAAAGGTTGCAGATTTCTATTTTAAAAGGTTGGTCTCAGATAAACTTATTAATTAGTGCTAGCTCTTAATTCTGTTATGGAAATAGTTACAGCTATAATAACATACTTTCTCTAGGTAGTTATTTTTATTTTATTTTATGCATTTCGATTCCTGATGCGAAACATAATGCTGACTGATCAGAGATAACTCCTCGTTTGACAATAGTTATTTATAGCTGTTAAAAAAATACAAGGTCGTGGCTAGCTTGTGAGCAGGAGCAATTCGTTCGGTAGGCAAACTGTTAAAGCAGCAGGAGCAATTCGTTCGGTAGACAAATTGTTAAAGCATGAGGGATAGACGCAATCTGAAAAATATGATCCAAATAGTTTAGGTAGGAGAATGGTCAACCGTTTCGGCTCGTAAATTATTTGTGCCTAACGTCCTTTTCAAAAAAAAAAANAAAAAAAAAGTAGAGACACAAGTGTGCACACAGCAGAAATAAAATAGATTTTTCTACTATACTACATTAATAGAGTTGCTATTTTCTTTCGATATAAAATTAAACCAAAGTGCTTTTTTAAAGCTAAAAGTAGTAGGTGACAGAAAGAAATGTCCACTTTGAATAATGAAATAATTACTATGATTCAACAATGACAAGTTTGCAGGTGGTTGAAAAGCTTAGCGATACAGATAACTTTTTCACAGGCGAGAAAAGTTATATCAGCGCCAAATAAGTTGTCTTAATTAACTGTCCCCCAATTCTAATATTTCATTTCATCTTTCTTTGCCTTCTTCTCCTGAATCGCTAAAAATAATTCTACGGTGCGCTGGACTCTCACCTTGTACACGCAAACTCATGATGGGAGAATTATACCTCCTTTATCATGCAAGTGTTTTTTTTTTGTTTTTTTTTTCTAAAGTAGACCACTTTTTTTTTTAAAAAAAACCCGAGCACAATTGGGTTAAGGTAATTGACAATTTTTGCATATTTCGCCTTATTTCTGAAACTATATAAGATAATCAAAAAAATTTACAAAATTGTAAAACTCATTTATTCGAAAATAATTTCATGCAATTATAATTCGTAATGTAATAAGGTTCGAAAAATGTTTGAATTTTAAGGTATACAAATATTTTTATATTGCTTTAAACAACGTAAGCTTAAATGATAAAATAAAAATTTCGAGCAAATTTGGCTTAATAGTTTCTGAGAAATGAAATTTCAAGCATTCGTATTTTTAAAATTTCATTTTTCTGGAATTATTCATTTGATTTCTTTCGAATTTCGGGCTTTGCCAGATAAAAGCGCACGATTCAAAATTTTGTTTATATTCGCGCTTCTTATAATTCTAACACACACACATATAACTAACATGAGTTTTATAATTTTTTGGACATTTTTAAATAGTTCTAAAGATATTGCAAAATACGCAAAAACATTGAAAGGTCACAATCTTTCGACCACTGTACTGCCTTAATTATTATTTTCAAGATGCCTGAAATCTCTCATATTTTGAGGGTTATGAAACTAAATTCGAAAAAAAGGTATCTTTAATCAGGTAAAGTATGCTACTGCTTCAGATTTCGTAACCTTAAATGCCATCTGCGCGAGAAAAATAGCGCATTTAAGATTAGCTCTATGAACAATTTCCGATCGTTAATTCAAAAGTAATGAATGGGTTCCCTCTTTTTTTTTTTAAATTTTATACACATTTCTGACACTTTCATGGGGCCGTTTTTGCTAATTTTGCAGTTGTACTCTCATAAGCGAAAAAAAAAGAGAGATGAACATTTCTTTTTTGTAAAAATTATTGATAATTTTTAATTATAAAATTAAAATATTTTGTTAAGTAAAATTTTAAATTGTGATTAATGAATTTGTTTTAATTCTAATGTTGATGCAATACTTATGGTACATAGTATACTTTTGGAATTTTTTTTAAATTAATCATTTATATTTAACAATTTCAATATTTATAAGAATCTTTCAGAAGCTAGAATTACTCATCACGAAACGACCTATTCAAAACCATTTTTTCTTTCTTCCTTCCTTCTTTTTCCCTATAAAAATATCAAAGCAGCAACTTTCGCTTAGAATAGAACATATAAGTCCTTGTTGCAAGTAAAATATTTGTAATCAAATCCAGTAAACTGGGTCATGAATAATGATTTGGAAATTTCAACCGATAGATGAAATTTCCAAATCATTAGATGAACCTTTCGATCATCTAATGATCACCTTTTCGATTAGATGAAAAGAAAAAAGATAGCTGGAAAGGGAAAAATAATAAAATCTGATTAAATCAAAAAAGAAAAAAAAAATGCTGGAAAGACATATACATTCATGCAAATTTTAATCCAAATTTCAAAAGACTATTAATGTAAAGAAAGCAGAAGTTATTTTTTCATAAAAGCTCAGTATTTTCCAATAAAATATTCTTGAATTTTCTTGAATTTAAAAAAGAAAATTAAATGTTTTAATACTCAATTTGTATAAAAATCATATTTTATTCAAAAATTTTCGTTTAAGCCAAATTTTTGTCATGTTAAAAGTTTAAAATTCTAGTAAAAATAGAAATAATAATATAGTAACAAATATGAAGTCTTTCCTTACCTAGATATCCATCAAATGCGCTCATTTTCCACATCGTTCGTAGAATAATTAAAGCTAGAACAAGACGGGTTATCATTACACCTCAAAACATTCTGTTCATGTAATGTTTTCCTTCTTTCATTATTAATTTTTTACTAGAGATTATGAAAAGTAATTTGAAATTCTTACACTAATTATACTTTTCTTAGAGACATTTGAAACTTAAATCTATGTTGAAAGAAACTACTAGCGACATATCTGAAGTCGCCAAGCAGAATTTAAAAGCTTCGCCAAATGAAAAGAACTTTTATAAAAGGGTTAACACGATTCGAGCAGCTGATCGTAAGTTTTGTTTATTGAAGCAAACGATTTTGAAAAGAAACTAAAATTTGTAAAATTTTCGTGATGAATTCGCCAGATCTTTGTACAGTTAGTTCTCCAATTGCAGAAGCAGAAAATCGACAAAATGACGAACAGTGGAATAAATCTTTGATTGAAAAAGTAAGACATTATAAAACGATCAGATTGTTTAATAAGTAATAACTCTGTTTTAGAACGTTCTCTTTAGAATTAAGCTTTGTAAATCTTCATGCTATGAGATTTTATTTTTAGTTTTATTTTGTGATTGTTATCTGCTTTAGGTCAAATTAAAGTATTTATGATATCTATTTCAGTTTTAAAAGCGTTTTTGTTAAAAATTTGTTCTTTTCTTCTTGCATAGCCAAACTGTAAGTTCTTCAAGATTCGTATTCCTGATAAAAAATATAAAAAAATTCTTCTAATTTATCATGATATTTTGTTTTTTGTCCTGATATTCTCGATTTTTGTGTGTTCGAAATATTAGGTCTACTACGCATAAAAATACGTGCTTTATTTCTATCTATTTTAAGAATCAAAAGATTTGGATTCTCGATCCAACATCTTTTTATTTTAATCAAAAATCGCCAACTTCGATAGTTTTAACTAATAATATACTTGATTCAGACTTACGCGCAGGATTTATAGCTCAAAACTTTTCAGGGATTAAGACTTTTTATAAATAAGAAACAACAATTTTGCTTGATCAAATTTTTATGGATAAATTAAGGGGTAATATGCATATATATTGTTTCTAGGAAATACTGTTCAAATGTTGTATGGGGTGAGTTTTCTAGTTTAACAATTACTGATTTGTTTACCGTCTGATTTTAAAAACGATTAATCCCAACCCACAATGCAGTAATCATTGAGGGATCATCCACAAAATTAGATTTGTACTCAAATGTTAAGCAGATATTCACTGATTTTCATTTCGAGATTATTGAAAACCAACTTGAAAAATTATTTGTAAAAGAAGGGCTTTTGATTGATTAAAAATTTTAATTAGGTATGGATATAAGGAAAAGACAACTAATTAATAGTTTTACTTTTTTTAGTCCAACAGTACTATAAAAATATTTTATATGTATTGATCTCAAGGTGATTGATAAAGTTGTCCAATACTCCATTAATAAAACTATCCAGGAAGGTATTGAAACTTTCTGTTCTGATCTCAGAAAATGAAAATAGTATGTTATCATTCATTTTAGGATGAAATTTGCCTTTATAAGACATATTGTACTTTTAATTATAATGTGAGGCAAATTATACTTTTTTTTGTTATTTATTTGCCCTTTTTAAAAATAGTATGGGGTATGTGTATGCTCTTATTTTTTTACTTGTAAAATGTTGTTTTATTTTCTTTCATTGGTCCACTACGAAGCCCGTTTTTCAATTTTTACAATTTTCGTGTGGCATTTTTTCTTTCCATTTAGTTTTAAAATTGATTTATTGAAAGGTTTTTAGTGTCAAGGTTTTTTTCCCTATGAGTTTTCCCCCCCATCATAAGTTTTCCCCTAATCAATCAAACATTCGAATGATATCTTTAAAAACTTTCTTTCTACATTGTTTCATATTATGTTGTCGAAGCCTTGACGTTTTGCATACTTCTAAAATTACATCTATTCCACAACTCTTAACAATTAAAATAAAACGTAGGAATTTTTTGAAATAAATTTTTTTTTATTAAAATCAGAAAACTAAATAATATAAAAAAGAGTTCTCTTTTCCGGTAGATTTAGCGGAACAGTAAATTTGGTTATTTTTCGATAAGAATGCTAGATTAAAAATTATTTTAGAATTCCAATTTTTTATGATCAATATTGTTTACATTTTTACAAAAATTAGAAATTTTTAAGTTTTAAAAACAGTAAAAATGTATCCTTTGATAAAACTTATTAGAATTTGATTCCGTAGTTTTCAGAAACATCTAAATTTATTTTGCACCAGCTCTGTATAATCATTTTTTTTATTGACCGATATTGAAGTACATAAAGCACGTTTAAATTTATATCTAACATAGAATTTTCTATAGCACTGAAACTTGTAAAATCATTGATATCTTTTCAAGTATTTGGAAAACATTTAAAAGTAGTAAATTTCGACATCTGAAGGAGTCGATAAATAAAACTTTAAAAAAAAAATTGCATCACTTTAAATCTTTAAAGAAATTCAGTTTCGCTCTTAAAAGAGCGATCTTATTTAAATTTTACGCATGCGATGATAAGGTTAAACACTCTTAATACCAGAGCTAGTATTCTCAATATTTTTTATACATTATTGCAATTAACAAACAGAAGATTTCAATTTAAAAACATCTGTCAATTTTAACAAGGAATTTTAAATTAAGTGTTAAAAAACTTGCCCAAATTATCGAATGGTTTTGTTATATATATCTTTCTATCTATAGTATCTCCTGATATATCTATAGTATACATCAGTATATATCTATAGCAGTGTTTCCCAAACTTGTGACTTTTGTGTACCCTTTCTAAATTTTTTGTAACGCTGTGTAATTAAAAAATGAATGCATTTTTATGTTTATTTTGAATGAATGAATGAATTTTATGTATGAATGAATGTTTATTTTTACTATAAAAAAGTGCACAAAAGTTAAAAATCACAACTGGCTGTTGACACCACTAATTATTAACTGTTAACTCTGCAAGAAATAGTCAATTGAAAAATACGTAATCGTAAATTTTCATGACTAGCTCTGTTTTTAAATAAAAGTTTTTGAAATTTTCGCTTGTTACAAGATATTTCACATAAGAGCGCGTAGTCCCGCTAAACTGTTCCCGTACCTCTAGGGCAGGGTTTCTTAACTTGTGGTTCATGGACCCCTAAGGGGTCCATGAGTCATATTTTGGTAGTCCACTAACTACTCCTATTTTTTAAAACGTTTGGAAGCCTACCCATTGCTTGTAAAACGATCTATGGCAGCTATAATTCCGTTTGCTACGGTGTATCTTTGCGAAGCGGGATTTTCCACACTCGTGACAATAAAAACAAAACATCGAAATCGATTGAATGTTGAACATGATATGCGCGTTACTTTGTCGAAAACTACCCCCCAATTCAATTTGTTAATTAAGGAAAAGCAGCAGCAACCTTCACATTAAAAATTTCAGTTATAAAAATTTTGTATACTATTAAAATAATAAAATTAAATGTTTTCTAATAATGGATGGTTTTTGCAATTATTTTTTTCACAGGGGGGTGGTCTGTGACTTCTTAAAATTTTTTAAAAGGGGTGCATTATACCAAAAAGGTTGAGAAACACTGCTCTAGGGGTACGCGTACCACACTTTGGGAAACACTGATCTATAGTATCTTTCAAAACGTTTTTCTCTGAAAAATGTATTTTATTAACTAAATTAATTCAAAGCATGCTTCTGAAATTAAAAAATACAACGGAAATAAACAGCGAAGATATGAAACAGCATGTCACCAAAACTTCGCCAATTGCATTTTAGCACAAATATTAAAAAAAAAAAAAGTTTAAAACTGCTTTGAAGCTCATTTCTTTCAGGATGATCATTTAATTACATTAGCCTTGAATCAANTTAACGTTCTAGGATTCAATCTTATTAGTTCGAGGAGGTGGCTTTGAATATGTTAATTATTTAGTGCAAACGATATTTTAAGTTACGAAATCAGACACAAAAACGTACTTTATCTGAATAAACATGCCTTTTTTTTCGGTGGATTCAGATTGTTGTGCACCTAAAATCTATGGGGTAGCCGCAGTCTAGGAAATATGGTCCTTGTTCAGGAGATTTGTTCAAAGTTTTGACCCCTTAATGTTAATTTTACTTTTTGCGTATTTTGCCATATCTCGAGATTTTTTTTAAGCGAATTGAAAAACCGATTTCACTCAAATTTTGCCATGTAAAATCATATTTTTTGAAACGTTGTAAGGAATTGCATACCTTACAATTTAAAATGTTTTCGAGTAATGTTAAATAAAATAATAACTATTTGCTAAATGTTATATTCTGCATGGAATTATCTTTTATGAATTTTATAATTGTATGCTAAAATTCTTAAATTTACTTAAAAAGCTTTCGATGTATGATGATGATATTAAGTTAATTAACATCAAGCAGTTCAAACTATTGGAACTATGTTTTCGTGGCCAAAATTCATAGTGCGTCGTTAAAAAGGTATTCAGAGAAAGTACACCTTTGTGTCTGATTTAATTATTCAGTCTAGTTCGTTTTTTTTTTCACACTGTACATTTTTATGCACAGTTGCATAATCCCACAGTGGTCACTTAACACTAGATTGCCTAAGGAAGTCATTTTGTCTGCTTTTAATTTCAATTAGAAAAACAATGACGCACAAAATAACACAATTTCTTAGAATTTTGTGCAACATATAATTTTTTATTGTTAATATTTAGTAAAAACTTGTTATAAAACTGTAAATAATATAAAAAATACTAAAAATTAATTTTTGACAAATTTATTTACACATTTATTCTTTTAGAATCCATTAATTTTGACTGCTTTTGGGCAATATAGGTATATACTAAGTATCAGTCTTTCTAGTGTTAAGCAGAAATTTGTAAAAAAAAGAAGAAAAAAAAAGGTTTTTAACCTGCAAAAGTAACTTTCAAATTTTCTCTGTATTCTTTTATTAACATATTTAATTTTTAAAATTTCAAAGATGATATGTTACAAAATATACAGTTCTTTTTACCGTTTTTAAAATTAACTTTCGCTCTATATACTACCAATTAACCAATATTCGGCATAAGCTAATGTATTCGTGCGTGAGGCTATTATGGGCAAATTTGCACTGGCCCCATTTAACTTCCAATGGAAAAAATTTGAATTGGTTACAAGTGTAACATATTTAGTGTAATTTATTTTCAAAACTGAAATGATTTTGTAGAATGGTATACTCCTTACAAACAGAGGTTTCAATCTGAAGTAAAAAAATAATCTATAAATTTTTATAACGATCCACTTTTTAAAATTTTTAAGATAATTTAAAGGATATGTTTTATTAGGTTTGTTAAAATATTACACTTTAATATCGATGATTTAAAAAATAAAACAAAGTTTTCAATATATATTTATTTTTAGCCACAGATTAAACTAAAACAAAACTGTCCCTTCTTCTCTTTTGCGAGGTGTTTACATTGCTCCAGTGTGGGAAATATCACTAAGCCATGCACCCCGTGTATTGTCCATTTGGGTCATTTCTGCATCAAGTTAAAACTATTAAAACTGATTCAATTTAAATTCTTATATGTTCACAACAAAATAAATATAGTAAATTTCTTAAAATGTCTTTTTAATGAAATATCTTGTGCCATATTAAGAAATGGGATTAATTACCAGATTATAATGCATAACAATGTTTCTAAAAAGCTTTTTTTCTGGTTAAATTGTGAAGGGTTTTTTAAGTATGGATGGTGTTTTCTACACAAGGGAGCGCTGCAAGCCCCCTCACTGCCTATATTTCCGTATTTCTGTTTTTGGCGTGATTTGAAGCCATTTGACTCACAACGTGATCAGATCATTGGTGTTTTGTACATTGGTGTTTTGTACATTGGTGTACTTTAGTAGTATTTATTGTGTACGTGTATTCGTTACCTGATTTATTATTTGTGTTAAAAAAAGAATCGTTATTTGAAGATCAGCCATTTCAAGACGTACGAAGTATCATTAAAAAAAATCGTTATAAAACACTTCTTACCTTGTTAACCATACACCAACTTCGAAATCTAAACCTAAATGATAATTTGCAAAATGAACTTAATCTCGGTGCTCGAACAATATGCTAACACTAGCGTATGAAGGTGCACGGCTTGCACCAAAGAACAAACAGTAAATTAACAAGTAAAAAGAGGCCAAATCAGAAGTGCCTAAAAAGAAGAGAATTCTTTTTAAATCTACCAACCATGTCATTTTTTTTAACAGGACATCTCTAAATAACTAAAACTAATTTTCCTTTTAAACCCACCAGAATTACTTAATATTATTAGTAACTTATGAAATGCATTTGAACTCAGAAATTGTATAATTCATTTCTTTGATTAAAAACAGAATGAGCTGTAGTAAGCAGCAGCATACTTTCTAACCGGTAGTAGAGCAGGTCAAGAGATTGTTGTTGTTTATATTTATATTGAAAACTTCATCCATAGCATTTAATAGTACTCATAGACAAATGAACTTGTTTATTGGTTAATATACAAGATAGACAGGCTCTAAGGTTTCGCTCTTTTTCTCATAAGGTTTCAGTGCTATGGTGTTATATATTAGAGATCAACCTAGACAGGTGATCAGGTACCTGTACTTGTATTATTTCACACACGAACTAAGCGTAATGTGCCATTTGCAGAAGAAAACCTACTCAAAACTTTTGTTTTAGACGGTGCTTTACAGATTGCTCGACTTATATTCAAATCTGGAAAGAACTAATTTGTATAGCAATTTTAACCAAAATTTGAATAATTAAAGCATTTATTAAAAATGTCTGTGCTGGTCAATACTTCAATCATTAAAAAATAAATCATTGTCTTTATTTTAGGATAGGATACCGATATCCCAAGGAGCTTGTTCTCCTAAAATGGAGACGATAACAGCATCAGTGTCTCCAATGTATGCTCAGAAATCCGTCTCCAAACAAAATGGCGTACCCTACAAGAAAAAAATGAGGTTGGAAGATGAAGATTACGATTCTTTGGAGATGGCTTGCAATTTGACTTCAGAGATAGCTGATGACTGTGAAGCTTTCGGCAGGCATGTCGCTGCACAATTAAGGTTAATGACGCGAATGCAGAAATTCATGGCCGTCAGACTCATTTCTGAAATATGTTTCCGTGGCCAAATTCAACACTTGTCTCTGTCCACCAATATTGTGAATTCATCCCAACAACAGTCTCAGCAGCAGCAACAAACACACCTTCAGGCGCAGCCCGTTTTTCCGCGGCCTCCTCATATCTCAACCGCATCCATTTATGCAAGATTACCAGATTATTCGATGCTTCACCAACAAGGTATGCGTGCGCCTAACCTCCCACCTTTCCAGGGATTTATGCAACCTCAACAGGAGCATGGACACTTGGAATCAGTTGGACCAAATTTTAGTAGCTCTTAAAAATGTAATGGATACTTAATTTATTCTACCCAGATTCAGTTAGCAAAATTGTAAATGCTACTATCAATTTCGTCAGTTAAAGCTTGTTTTGAAAACTCTAGAAGAGACCTTTCTTAATTAATTTTTTTAAAACGAAAATTCATGTATCTTTATTTCATATTAAATATACTAGATGTTTATATTGTTTTTTGTCAGAACCAAAGATTCAGACAAGATTACAAGGCCCCTTAATTTTGTTTGATTTTGCCATATGTATTAAAATGAACCACCTCTGAAAAATCAATAATAAAAGATTGCTAATTAAAGAAAAATGAAATTTGTGTAAATTTCGATTTTTTCTCTTGCGAGGAAATTTATAAAATTTCTTTTAAAAAATTGGACATTCAAAATATATTTTTACAAAGTTTCTCATTGGAAAAGGCGATGTAATTTGTTTTATCAACCCTATCCGAGCCTTCTAGTCAAGGGCCTTTTGTGTTAGACCTCGACCACGTTAGTTGTTCTGAGAACATAGGTATTAAAATTAAATATTTTGTAGAAGTTTATTTGTCAAATGTTTTAGTATTACATTTTTCACGAACCATGCTTTCGTTTGTAGCGCTGTGATGTACACCGAAGAGCCATTACATTGTGACCACCCTCCATCTATAACAATGGGCTCGCCCTGAAACAATGTTTTCATGGGGCACATTAGGACCCATAATCCTCATAGAACAATCCCTGACGTCTGTAAGCTACTTGAACATAGTTGCAGACCAGGTTCACCCATTCATGGCAACAGTTTTTCCTGCGGGGGATGGTGTTTACCAACAGGATAATGCACCATGTCATAAGGGTCGAATCGTCATGGATTGGTTCGAGGAACATTCCAGTGACTTTCAAGTCATGTCTTGGCCCCCAAATTCACCTGACCTTAATCCAATAGAGCATTTGTGGTCCTACTTGGAAAACCAAATTCGTGCTGCCACGCTACCCCCTCGCAATGTGATGGAATTGCAGGACCAGTTGGTGAGCGCTTGGTACCAGATACCTCAGACTACCTATCAGCACCTTGTGGAATCAATGCCACGGCGGGTGCTAGCAGTTTTGAGGGCTAAGGGTGGTCATAATGTAATGGCTCTTCGGTGTATTTTGGGTTGCTTATTTCTGACAAGGACTAGCTGTAATTTCTTTCTGATCTTCCTCATTCTTCCATAGTTAACTGCACATGCAATCTCTGCTGACACAGTCAGAAGTATTGATAATTATTGCTGAATTTTTCATATTGTGTTGCAATGAACAGTAAATTAGCTGTTTTTTTTAATTTCAACCAAAATGCTTTATATTTTTATATAGATATTATAGAACATGCTTAGTATTAAAAATAAAATCGATCTTTAAATTTTCGACGCCTGATTATACGACTCTTCGGTTATACTTTAAGAAATGTATAAATTTAATTGCGTGTCGTAATAGTAACGTATAAAAAATATAAAAAACATTCGTAGCATTAATGATCAATAAAACGATCAAAACACATGGATTTACGATGGTATCGACACAAATCAAGCTCATCGAAAAGGGATTACTCAAATGAGATTCAAATTTTGCGTGTCGCCAAGATATTGGAATTTTAAAAACCATAAAAAAATCAATTTCACTGCAATTAAGAGAAAAAAAAGTTCGAAAAACGTATTTACCAATTCAAATTAAGGAAGTTAGTAAATAATCTAACTTAGTAAAATTAAGAGAACCAAAGAAAAAAATTCCTCCTATTCTCCAGGTTCTGGTTTTTATCCAAATTTCCCCGCTTTTTTCAGTATAAAAAATTCCCTGATAATTCCAGGTTTTCAAGGTGGGTGGCCACCCTGTTGAAAACACAAATTTCAGGATAACCTAGATATTGTCGGTAGATAATTTACAATCGATGACGAAATGGCGTGAGTTCGTCAATGTTTTTCACTCTGTTATACATCTACAGTAACAAAATTTCGTTAATTCATAATGCTTGTAACTTTATTTTATTTATTAAATAGTAATATAGTATTTAAATCATATTCGCTTCTGTATTGTCAAACTTAATTCGAATTCATCTTAATGTTCTCTCGGTGGAACTGGTATGTTAGCTCAGTTATTTTACTATCTTTAGTAGTGAAATATCAAGAAATATGAGTTATCAGTGGTGTTTCACTACACTTTTTTGGAGTAAAGTAGGTGTCACTAATTTCAGTGTTAAGACACACTAAAAGTTTTTTAGTGTATGTTTAAAAATTAAAAAAAGGCGAGTAAAACAGATGCATTTATTCAATATCTTGGAGCCCTTTTCCAGTTGTCAAAAAATGACTCAACTTTTCGGGTTTTTTCCTCAAAATGCACCGCAGATTCTTGAGAGATCGTTCGGTTCCAAAGGCACTCACTAAAATCTTTTTGGTCAACCTAATTTTTCGCAACCACACATCATCACAGGCAGAGTGTTCCCTCAGGTAATTCTGAGCGTTTTGAATCAATCTATAATCAATTGGAAAGGTAGGAAACAATTTGCTATCAATGTAGATTGGCTCCATTTCCATGTAGTCCGCCGATCGCTGGATGTCCCCCCGGCATAAAGTTTGAAATTCCCCGAGCACTGCGAACTTGTGGAAAGCCAAAACAGCTCTTTTGGACAGAATGGTGTATCTGTACACAGGAAAAGGAATAACATCCATTATCTCCTGCTTGTTGTAAAATCTCAATTTCAGACAGAAGCGCAAGAATTCCAAACACAAAGAGGCTGAAGAACAGTTCACATTCTGAGGCTTATTCTCTCGACTGACATAAGAAGATTTTTCTGCCACGTATAGAAATAGCTTGATAAATGTATTTCGATTGATCAGACCAACTATGTTTTTGCTATCCGGCGGAGCAACTATATGCTCATCCTGGGCCCAGACAAGCAACACACCGAGAGCTTTTTTAAGTTTATCTAGATCACAAAACACTGTATAATTTACCAACTGTTCATCAAGAAAAGCCTCTCGGGTTTCGAACCTTGATCCTTGCGAATGAATCTGTTGTTCCATTTTTAGAATGATGGGTGAAAAAAGCGATGGTTTCTCCAGGCATCTGAGTACCTTGACCTCGGCTAAATACTCGGACACGATCCATGGAAAGCTTAGAAGTCTGGGGTTTGGGTTTTTCTCATCGTATGTTACGACGTACCATGCCGAAGCTTTTTGAAGCATAGACGTGTCTGGCATTGATATTTCGCCCGATTTGAATTCTTCGAGAAATTCGTCTTTCATACTTTTTACCAGACTTTTGATGCTAAGTATGACTATTTTTTCAATATCTCTTTTATCCTTTCTGTCACGGAAACGGCAATGCAATCTTGTAAAAGCGCCAGAAAATACTTCCGCCTCGTGCTCTACGCCATAATTCCTTAGAACTGCTTTAAGAAGTGAGAAGTACTTTTTTCGGGATTCGATAGCATCTTGTTTATAGTTTTCCCAACCAGGATAAACAAGATCTTTATCCATCTGAAAATACATTAGGAATGCAATCTTATAAAAATTGTTTTAAATCTACCACAAGGTTAAGGCATTTTACATATTACACATTTAAAATGAAACAAATTTAATTTTAAAAAAATCTTATCTTTAATTTATTTTAAAATAGTCAAATTAAAACTAATTAAAACGTATATACGATAGAATCGAGGCCGAAAGGTAAGACGGAAAAAAGCAAGAATCATTATAACTTATTTTCTCGAAGATTTAAAAAGAAGAAAAAAAAATCCATGGCTATTAAGACAGCGAAAGTGTTAAATTGTACCATTGTTTTTCTTTTCCGACTTCTGCTCCGGAAAGAATAGATCAAGGCTGTAACAAACCCGGAAAAAAAACTGTTAGTAAAACTAATTTTGTTCTACTATTTTTCAGAACCCGTGATACTACCACTTGTTTTTCTTGTTTAAAACATACATAACGGAAGATGGATTAAAAATAAAACTTCCATTTATTCCTCGCAGATGTTATATTGAGAAATATGTCTACTCGATGATTCGGATTTTAAATAACAGCTGCAAGCAGACTCCTATTCTGCACTGGCTAATCGCACCACCTCTGCGTTAGCACATTCGCATTTGGAAGCTTGCCGACAAAATAATGAGGAAAAAAGCTCCGATTTGTGATTAAATGGCCGTCAAAATATTAAAGTCAAAGGTAGAAATGCGAAAGAAAATTTATTGAAAAATAGAATCGAAAGTTCATCAATCATACAATCAAAAGTTTATCAAGTATAAACTGGTTATAAACATCGTTAACCGCGAATGATAAACGAATGACAAAAATATTGCTAAATTTTTTTAATGAAATGTTCCTTGCTAAATTAAGAACAAGTACCATTGATTATGTTTCACCGGTGTTTTTTTTTACGTGCGATAATGATGTCAGATGTTTTGGGACAATTTTAAATATTAGATCGTGTGAAAATTGAAATTCACTGCTTTTGGATTGTTGTTGTTGTTGTTAATTTACATCGCACTAGAGCTGCACAATGGGCTATTGGCGAGAGTCTGGGTACCATCTCGGAGGATGATCCGAAGACATGCCATCACAATTTTGATCCTCTGCGGAGGGGATGGCACCCCCGCTTCGATAACCCGACGACCTGCGCGCGAAGTCGAGCACTTTACGGTAGCACAGTTTAACGAGGACCAATACCGCACACCCTCGGTCCCTACGCAGACTGATCCAAGTGGTCACCCACCCGCACACTGACCGAAGCCAGTGATGCTTAACGATCAGTCCACTACGGGACCACTGCTTTTGGAATTGGAATGTAAAATGTACAATGAAAAAGATTTTGCCAACTTTTAATGGTGATCTTTAAACAACGTATCTGAATTAATTCCTAAATTTTCCAGCTTTTTCATTGGAAACTTCCTTCCGTTTTTATCATTTACGTTTGGCGAGTCTTGAGAATGGGCACCGATTAGAGCGCTGGAATTATGTTAAATTTTTTTGCTCCTCTACAATTTTCGAAGAAAATATATTTTTCATACAGTATTAGTTTTTACCTTTACGTCTGAGTAGGCTAAACTGGCTTCCTCATTTTCCGATTCATAGTCCCTGATGACTCTATACATTTTACCCAAGGCCTTCTTAGACTTGTAACTCTCTTGAAAATGCCGCTCCATAAAATCTGGAAATTTGGTGGGTCGCTCATTGCCGTGCAGGTGTGTGCTCACTCCAGTCTTTGCGAAATCCACTGCATACGAGAATTTCTTGGCGATTGTGATGCATTTTTCTGAGAAGATGCTCTCCTGATCAGCTTGTGCAAGATGAGCGCTAGCTATGCTACCTACTTGATCATTCTTGATGAACTGCACGAGAAAATCTATCATATCTTCAACCTAATAAACGATAACATTTTAGAATATTTTTTTGAACAAAAAAAAAGTCTTTCCAAAGAATTTTTTGAACATTAATAAAAGGAAGAGTTGCATGCATCTCTATAATAAATCCAGAGCCGCTTGTGCTACCTAAATTTTGACATGACCTAATTTGATTTGACCTAAAAACAGTTTAAAAATTTCGATTGAATCATTCGGGAAGGGCACTAGAAGAATAAATTTATTTTATTGGTTTTATATTAGCCATTTTTATAAATTAAACAGCAAATGATTTTTTTCTTCGAACAATTAAAAGATAAACAACAGTAATTTTCGATAGTTAACAGTTCTAATTAATAAAAAAAAGAATTTTTTACGCAGTCTTTAATATTCACTCATTTTTTATTTATTATGTCAAGTAAGCTCATGGATCAATGGGTATAATATGTGCAGGCTACGTCACCAAATTAGTATTCTTCACCTTTTCTTTGACATTGTTGAAACGAGTTTGTAAAAAAAATAATAATTCAAAATAAATGGTAATTGAAATAAAAAAGAATTATTTTCAAAATAGACAAATTAATTTAGAAAAGATACTCATGGAAAATGTAAAAAATAGCAATACTTATTTTGACACCAATGATGTTTAATTTTGGTAATTGGCAGTACGGGTATTATGGTAATTGGTTCTATCTTAAAAATTGAGAAATTTGCTAATATGGGTACTGCAGTAATAGTATTTCACGGCCTTCTGAGAGGAGAGGGAAAATTGCTTGATTGTGTTAAATTTTGACTAGCATGAGTTGGCCGAGAGAAATAGCACTATGCCGAATGGTAGGTACTTTCTGCACTAACCCATTTTTTTCACATTTCTCAAGAAATACTTTAAGAATTATTTTTAAACTTTAGAAGCGTTTAAGTCCTGCGATATCTCATACATATTAATAAAGTTTATTAGTTTTAAGAGGTTTGAGGGATTGGCAATAAATTACGGACGAAAAAAAAATGTTTTTGAATACTCCATGCTAAAAAAATACAACGATAAGCTTGTAACTCTTGTCAACTTATCACATGAAATAACCGCACAAAATTTTGTAAAGCTTCTTAAAAGATTCTTGGAGAAATGGATGCATTTTTTTAAAAAAAACTAATCTTTTGACTTACATTTTCTTACTACAACTGCAGAAATATTCAATAAAATTCTTAAAAAAATGTAAAATAATTTTTAATTAATATTAAAAATATCTTTTTAAAATTAGAGTGGGCAGACATGAGTATTTGAAGAAACAATTTTATGTTGCGCATGTGTATAAAACGTTTAAAAAGTTTTTTTTTTTCGTATTTTTTTAAATAACTTATGAAAAAAGTTCGATTTTAAGATCTTGAGAATTTAAAAAGTTTCAAGCAGTTTATCTGAATAGTTTTTGTTAATTTGAAAGAAAGTTTTGAATGGTAAGTGGTTTTCCAAAAATTTAATTTTGCACAATTAAACAGATTTATTAAAAAAAGACATCGGCATTATATAGGACCACATAAACTATTAAATTATGTTACATTTCACATGTTTTATTTCTTACTACCATCACAATTGGTTGATAGCAGCATCATTTTCGGGTAGTATTATTTAAGAAATTTTGTTTTATGATACAAAATCATATTTGTGGACTTTTCATTTAGCGTTTTCAATAAAGTATTACAAAAGCTACCTAGAAATTTACTAGATATTTTTTACATTTTCAAGATATTCAAATTGGACTTTTTGCGTAAGTTACCCAATACGATTTTAAACAAAATTATGATGAAAAAAAAACCGCAAATGTTTTCTGCACATGCGCAGTATGAAAGGATTGATTTAAATATTCATATCTTGTGCAATTTTTAACGGTTTATTTTCATATTTTAAAATGATATTTTTATTCTTAACAAAAATTACTCTAAAAACTTTGTTTCATTTTACTCAATATTTTTGCAGTCATAGTAAGAAAAATGTACGTCAACAAAATTATTATTTTAAAAAATGTCTCCAGGAATACTTAAGCTAGGTTTACGAAATTTTGTGCAGTTATTTCAAACGATAATCAATGTATTTGACACGAGTAACAAGCTCACCACTGCAGTTTTAAAAATTACATAAAAGAAATTTAGAAATTTTTTTTATTAACATTAATTAACAAAACATTTTTTAGATTAAAAAAAATTCTACCATTATCGCGTTGTTTGTTTCACTGGAAGCATTCCTAAAATGGCCTGGGGTATAATTGTCACGGTGAAATATTAGATCTTCATCCCAAAAAACACAATATTCATCTCCATCTAAATCACCACCTAAAATATCAAGACATTAAAAGTGAGTTTCTGAATACCATGAAAAGTTTTGAACAATGAGTGGACGATCCTTAAAGGCAACATTATTGAAACAAAATGATGTTGAATCGAAAATTAAAAAATCTGCAAATCGGCCATTTACAAATCAGTATTTGTATTCGTTGAAAATGGAATGTTCTAGTTCTAAATATATACAAAAATTTGAAATAACAAAACAAAAAGTTAAAACTCTAAACCAGAGATTCTTGAACTTTTTTGTCTCGTAGACCCATTGCCAAGTTTTTCGGTTTTGGGTAGACCCCCTGCTTACCTGCTATTAATTTTTTGTAAATTCATCAACTTCAAATGTATTTTTGACAGCCCTGTATAGTGCTACTCACTGTGAAAGATTTAAATTCCTAACTGTGGTGTGAAAAACTTAAGAAAAAACGCAGGTTGAGTAATATTATAATTGCGGAAATAAGTTCGTATACAAAACCTTAGTAGTGTATTGTCGGTTTGTTTATTACAATTTCATTTAAAAACTAAGCAACAAATCTCCGTGATCTTGTGCGCTGATAAAGTTGGAGGTCTAGCTATCTAAAAAGTTGACACAGGCTAGGCTACAATTTACTGCAGAAAAATACTTTTTTGTTACAAAATAAAACCCTACACTCAGAGAAAATTAAAACGTACGCGAGCGGAGCTGCAGGCAACTGCTAGTCTATAATAATTCAGTTTCACATATCAGAAAATAATCTTATTAACTTAAAATTTTAATAAAATTTTACTTCATAGCTACTTTTATAAATTATGTAGAATGTAGATAGGTATATTTCTTTATATTATAAGGTAGCATAATGTAAGTAAATAGGTACTATCAGTGTGTGGTGATTATTCCATTCATGAAATGCCAAAATTAAATTCACGACCTGCTTACATGAGATCCACTATCGTTGACTCCCATTTTCATTTCATGGACCCCCAAATTTTTTTCCACTTCACATGGATCCCTTGCAAGTTGTCGTCGACCCCTGGGGGTCAATATAGACCACTTTGGCAATCACTGCTCTAAACAAATATGAACAAAATATTTTTTAATAAGGAAAATTAGACAATCGAGCGAGCTATATTTCAGAGGAAACAATGAGTTATACTTACCGGACATTTCGTTTGGGTGAGGTCTATTTCCAACTTTTGGAAACACTATACAATCAATGATATGATGCAATTCTTTTATATCTACAGCTGTTAATTTTCTTACATCCCCTGGGAGAAGGCATGGACTTCTCGTTACTACAACAGTGCCTGTTGGAAATGAGGAGCCATTAGTAAACATTGTTCCATCATAGCTCATTAATAAAGCAAAAAGTATTACAATTCAGAGAATTTCATAATTAAAACTGATTGGTTGAATCAGATACGGATTTTGAACCAGTAAGAATTTCATAACATCAGAGTGAAAAGTCTTTACTACGCTTAGCATAAGTCAAACGGTGTCATAGATTACGACTGATTTTTTCTGCTGAAATTATTTTTATGGCAGTATGATGGAATTTATTTTAAGTTTTTGAAACGCAGTCATGTTGTTGTTGCGTACCCTCTTAATCTGATATATGTCAGAGAAGTTCGAGGACGCCACTGATTGCCAGAAAATCTGCAACGAAAAGAGAATCTGATGTCAGATCTACCTAGAAAGTCCAAGGCAAACCAGAATATGTTCCGGCGAAGTAGGTTGAATACATCATTTTTTGCAAGTAGGGAAGATCTTTCTGCCTCCCTCAAAAATATGTCACTTAAGATGGCCACTTGCAAATCTAGCCAAAGCAGTCTGGGTTCTTCGGTTGCATTTTATGTCCAGCAGGATGTCCTATGATACCATTGGTGTGTAGATTTTACACGCCACAATAGATGAAGTCTGGAACTTTCTATGGAGCAGAGATCCTAAGTAAGTGAGGTACTGTTTCGTCTTCACTTCCCTTGTTTGCCAATCTGTCCGCTATCTCATTACCGCGAATATCCACGTGTAATACCATGCATTGGAGGTAAACAACATTCTCAGAGATTGTCCTTAGTTTACGCATTCAGTTATCATCAAATTATAGCCCGTTTTTTTAAATGAATTTAAATTTTACTTTACATTCTTTTAAAATAGTCCATTTGAGAAGGTTCATTGGCAAAGCATAAAATAATTTCAGCGGAGAAAAATGACAGATAAAAAAAAACATAAGTAGGATTACTCTGACACAGCATTTTAAAATGCTCTCCATTCTTCAATGGTAAAAAAAAAATAGATCTGAAAATCCTGTTCACAAACATTTCCCTTTTTTACGGACCTAAGGCTCACATAAAAAGAGCCATATGTACAACATCAGTGAAATATTGCTATGTAAGTAAAGTTTCTGTGATTAAAATATAAAAAAGAGTAAAAACCAACCTGTTTTTATGATAGTATCCTTTGTTGTTTCTCCACGGGTTACATCCTTCGTATACTGTACAAATACTTGACCCTCTTTTAATAAGCCCACTTCGTCCAATACTCCCAGCATATTTCTTCCTAAGTTTGAATCGATCTGGAGATTAGCCTTGGTTTTTATTTTATCTGCAATTATAGAAATGATTGTAAAGTACAGTTTGCGCCCAAAGTAATTTACATATGTTTAAAAATAGCCTTCTAGAGTGCTTTGGAACATTTAAAAGCCTTTAAACATTTTGATTCAATGATCCATTTTGACAAAGACCCCAAGGATAAGATGTGGCATCATCATGGTAGAAAAATTTTCTAAACATCCAATTTCCAATTATTATATTTTTAAAAAGATATTTCTGTGAGCAGGGATTTCTGTTCTCATGATATTAAATTAGAAAGCGATGAGCTTTAAAATGTCACTACCAATTTTTTTTTTAGTTTTCTGAGGATGCATGCTTACCCATGCGAGCAGCTTTGCAACCCGCAGGAACGCTACTATGGAGAAGAAATTTGACGGGGGCCAAAAAAGCTATTTAGACCGAAAAACTTTTGACTTTACTCTTGTCTAAAGTATTGGTACCCTATTTTCTATGCGACTACCCCCCATATTTTGAAGGTACAATACACAAATTTACAATTAAAATGTATGCTCAGTCAATGCAAAAGTTCATTGTTCCTTCATAATTAAAACTTATCTTCAATGTTTGTAAATATTTATTTGTGTATGATTTTGTAACTGAAATATCATATCTATTAATTAATTAGTATTTAAGGTTAGACCTTCGAACCATTGAGTTTCTAGTATGTGAAAATTCGATCATTAGAGCAAAAGTTATTCAGGATATGCCTGTTCACGATGCGTATTACTTTCGAATTCGAAATAAAGAGAGCACTTTACCAACGTGATTACGATGAAGGGCCAAGAGTAAAGATCTGAAGAAGGGCTCCGTTGTCAGATGTATTCCAGATTCAGAGATGGTTTTAAAATTGAACAAGTGAGTAGAGGTATTCATCGTTAAATATTCCCATGACTTTTCCTCATCGATGAGCATGTCCGTCAAGTTGCGCAGCATATCCTCTTGCAATTTCAAAAATGTTCTGTGCCTCACTCCCAAATCATTCAGTATAGTAATCAAGGGTCTATTCAACTGTAGAGTAGCTGAAAAAAAACCATAGAAATCGGTTCATAAACACTCTCAAAATTCACTGCAACATTTTTGCTATAACATGTTGCCTGTTTAAGAAAAAAAAATGAAGTGGGAAATAGAAAAATGGGTACAAAAGATACCTTGCCAATAAGGCACACCCCCGTAATGAAGTTTTAGGTACAAGAAGATGTTGAAGTGCACTGATGTTGAAGAAAAAATTAAGATGTAATATTCCAGAAGCTGGATACCCAGGTAAACAGCTAAGAAGAAGTGATGAAATACTGTAATCCGGCATTTTTTGCTGAAGTGGAAGAAATTAGGGCAGAAGAGATCTGATGATCTCAACTGCCTCAGGTTCTGAGAATAGACTTTTCAAGCCTTTTAGATTCCTTGCGAGGCGTGCAGCCTTATAACGAGGGAAGTAAGTCTTTTTCTGAGTCTGCTTCAATCTGAACTCTCAACCAGTATAATTATCTGGATGTGGCCGGCCGCAATTGCAGCACAGTGCAGGCTCAGTTCTTTAGTACAAGTAGGATTAGAGCCACATGCTCCGGGCCATTTTCTAAATTTATTAATTTATATGCATAAATCATTTTTTTTTTTACTTTTGAGGTCCATATGATTCTATATTTCTGAAATAAAGTATTTTATTATTTATCAATTTAATTCTTCATTAAAGCTGTTCCTATTGTTTAATATCTACATCACTCTTGTCTACATCACACTGGAATAATATATGGACAATTGGAAACACGTCAATCAAATTATTCTACGAATGGTCAACACATCAATAAATTTTTCAACTCATGGTAATTCATCAAACCTCTTCAACAAATCAAAATAATTTCAAAACAAAAATATTCCTGGATATGGACGTTTCATTGCGGTTTGAAAGTATCTCAGTAATAATAGTCAGAACCATTTCATTCCACCCAATACTCGTTTTTCTATGAAGAGGCTGTTCTTGTTTCAAATACTTAATATCCTCGAGTTTTGACTCATAGTACCTTTGCAACTCCTCAGTAGAGAAATTCTCGTAAGCTGCTACCGTACGGCTGCCCCCTATATTTCGGAGATCAGAGACCCCAATACATTTTAAAAAATTGTATGTTTATTCAGAAAAAGAACACTTTTGTGTACATTTCGTAACTTAAAATATTATTTGCACAGATTAATTAACATGTTTAAGGTCACCGCTTCAAACCCTCGTCCCTCGAGTCTTAGAACAGGAAGATCCAATCATTAGATTAGAAAGTTTTATGGGGTGGTCTGTTTATTTATATGCACCCTGTACAAGCAGGAGAAAAAAATCTAAGAACTATAGTTTTGAATTTTTTGCTCCGCAGTCCACTTACAGAACACGTCATAAGTGTCTACATTTTCCGACTGCGATTTTGAAATATTTGAAAAAAATATTAATAATTATATCGTTAATTTCTAGGAAAGGAGGATTTTGAATTTTTTTTTTTAATTTTACAAAAATATGCGTCCATTTTGCAAAATAAGAAAAAGTTCCTTTTTCAGCTTATTACAAAAAGTTCCTTCTTTTTTTGTTTTGTATCTTTATTTATTCTTAAAAAATGCTTTGTGTTAAAAAAAAAACATCAACAGTTGGTTCTTTGTATAGCAAACCTATTTCCAGAATTATCCATTTTGTCTTGCTGAAATAAAATAAAAAATTCTCAGTGCATACTTACTGGGTGCACTTGTTCGGGCGATTTCCAATTTGATGCTGTCAGGTGAATCAAATTTCTTCATACTATTTCTGAAAACAATATCTGTGTCTTCCAGTGTTGGATCTGTCACCAGCATACCTTTGTAGCCCCCGTAACGGATTTGAAATGCACTACAGTGTTTATCGTGACCAAGACCTTCATGCACCTATTTTGGAATGGAAAAATAGATAAGCCTACAGTTCTTCGGTGAGCTTTTTGTTTTGAAAACAGCTCTAAATGAATAGTTTTTGAAAATGGACACATATTGAAATGCGTGTTTAAGAAAATGGACAGCACAGATCGAAATGGGAGTTTCAGAAAATACACTCTATAACAAAAAAATCGACGCACCAAGAAGGAGTTGTCCGATTGAAACGAAAATTGGTGGATAGGAAGACAATGTACAGAATAGTAAATGATTAAAATTTCAGAACAATTGAATAATTTATTGCAGAGTTACAGTAACAAGTTCAATAAGGTGTTGATCCGCCTCTAGCCTGGATACAAGCTGCCACACGGCGTGGCAGAGACCGATACAGCTCCCGGATGGTCTCTTGCGGTATTTTCTGCCAAATTCGATCCAATTGTCGAACGAGTTCATCAACATTCCATGCCAGATGCAATCGCCTTCCCATCATATTCCAGACATGCTCGATGGGAGAGAGATCTGATGATCTGGCAGGCCAAGGAAGAGTTTGACAAGCTTTCAGACAGTTCAGAGCAACACGTGCTGTGTGTGGTCTGGCATTGTCCTGCTGAAAAACCAGCCCAGGGTGCTGCAAAAGGAACGGTAGCTAAGCAGGTCTTAGGATGTCGTCGACGTACCGCTGTGCAGTAAGTGTACCTCTAATGACGACCAAAGGGGTCCGGCTGTCAAAGGAAATGGCACCCCTTGTTGAGGGCCGGTGTGGCGTGCAGTAGTGAAGGCAGGATCCCCTCTCTGCCCTGTGCGTCTCCAAACACGTCTTCGATGATCGTCAGGACGCAGTTGGAAGCTGGATTCGTCGCTAAAGACTATACGTCCCCAGTCGGCATCATTCCAGCAATATCTGTTCAAAACATGCATGCATACGAAATTTCAAAGCAATCGGATGATTGCTTCTTGGTGCGTCGATTTTTTTGTTATAGAGTGTAGATGGAGCGAAAATTGTGTATTTTTAATGTTTAATCTAAATTTAACCAACCAAACGAGGAATTGCGTACTTCTTGAAATACTAAGCATAGTGATATTATGAGGCAAAGTCCAGATTTTCTAAGTGACTATTTAGAACCAAATGGAAGAATTTATTAGTTTTCCCTTAACCAATCTTTTTACAAGTAGATGGTAGGATCCTGTTGGAAATATCCTTTGGGATAAATCTTGAGGATGTACAGACAGAGGGCAAAAATAAAAAGTAAATACTCTGACTAACTTTTGATTTAACGGATAAAAGGGTTCCAATAATTCAGTCAGAAGAGTGGACAAATGTTTGGACTAATTTCACTTTTTGCGTAGTTCGTACTAATGAAACGAATATTTTACACTCGATTACTAAACGTTCAGGTAAAAATAATTATTTTTAATTGTTATATTTTGCAATTTATTTTAATGATAAAAGAAAAAGTGTAATTTTAAGAATTTTCAATTTTTAAATTTTCATCTACGTAGTTTTTAAAAAACGAAAAATAAAAGTTAAATAAAAAATTCGGCTACTTTGAGATGGTGTGATAACGTTAGGAGTTCAAACTTTCTATTGCTTTTTTATTCAAAATATTGGGACATCACTTCCAAGATTGCGGCAACCCCGATACAAGTCCGTTAAAAAAAAACTCATTTAGAGAAAGTACGGTTTCGAGTCTGACCTCATTCTTTACATCTTCTGCACATATTTAAGGTTGTTTGTGCGATGTACTTGGTAAGTAGTGAAGTCTTATCTAGCATACTATGCACACAAAATAAAAGTCTTAATGCCGGCAGTATTATACTAGTCCCCTACCTTAAACACCGCAACTCAATAGCTCATTTGCATAAAAATGACAGTAGGTTATAACTGAGGGATTAATATGTGTTTAGTACAGAAACATAAACTATAATATAAACTAAAATTAATTCTAATAAGGATTCTTTTTCTTTCAACGCAAATAATAAATCAGGTAACAAGTACACGAATGCAAAGAAATAATATCAAGAGTCTCAAAACAGAATGGTGACGTTGTGAAAAAAATGACTTCAAAATATACCGGAAACAGAAAACAGGAAGTGTCGACAGTAAAGAGCTTGTAGTGCACCCTAGTTTTCGTAACGCCATCCATTCCTACTGATTATATATATACTTATAAAAACGCAATAAAGCATTTTTTAATCTTAATAAAAATTCGAATAATGCAATTTTTACCTCTGAAACCTCATAAGTTATGAATATGAAAATGCAAAATAATTTTTTTTATGTTGAAACAATTAAGAAACATAAATTTTTTCGTTAAAACAGATCTGAATTAAGGCACTGTTTGTTTTCTTCAACTGGGCACCTGCTGGGCCAGCTTGCATGAACTATTTTTTGTTGGGTTTTGATAGTTCTAAGTCGCGTCCAGTCAGTCTGCTTATCCGAATCCGACCTGGGTTTTTTTCGAATGTGCGCCAATATAGCCAAAAGAGAAAATTAATAAAACATCTATATATATACATGAAAAACTCAAACAATAATAGAACATATATGAAAATACAAAAAAAGAAGAAGAAAAAACAATACAAAATATACATAAAAATAGTACTGCATCTGTAAGATTTTGTTTCTGGTCAGTTCCAACCTATTTTTTCAATAGTGGCCACTTTTTTTCAAACATTCAAAATTGTAAGCGACTAAAAAAACAGTTGATAATAATAATAAAAGGTATTTCTTTCGAAGCATTTCTCAAAATATGGTAAATACAAGGTTCATTTCTAAAATGAAAAACTTTAGAAAGTGGCATAAAAAAAGTAATTTCCATAACATAATAAAAGTTTAAAAATAATTCCATATTTACAACAAAAAAAATAATGCATTTTCGACAAAAACGTAGCCAATGTGGCGTTTTAAAAATTTCGCTTTTTTTTCACTTTTTGAATCGCCATTGTTTGTATTTTGTCGCCTTGTGATCTAAATCTTGAACAATATGAAAATGTGCCTTATCGTTATACTGCAACAAGCCTTGCCTTTCATCTATAAGGGAAGAAGAAATTTTAGTTCAGAATTACAAAATAACTTACTTTGGAGGTCATTTCGGAGGAAATCTTGCCTATACCATCAGAGAAGCAATACGCTTTCCGATTCTCTGGATCAAAACCGCCTTCTATGTCCGGTTCTGTTCTTACGAATAACGAATCGAAAGGAACTGAAACAGCGTCTTCGGTTTGAGAGAAGCATTGTCCGATTCTTGCCATGTACTTCGACACGGTGCGAATGTGAGAAAAATTGCCCATCCAATCTCTTATGGTATTAGCCGTGTTCCCGTCAGAGTCTTCAGCGTACATCCAGACACCATGATCGCGTATTTGAGAATTGGACCACGCAAGGAATTCGAAATGTCTCGAACCAATATCAATCCCTGTCGTCATCGGATATCGTACAGCATGATCGAACACACTCTCGAAGGCGTATGGCACGTGGAAACTCAATCTCGAATGATTATCATCACGAAATGATACTCGCAAAGAATATTCGGAGTCGAACTTCCTCAATATTCTATTGCCCATCATTATTTCAGGTGGCCATAACATGTGTCGAGTCGGCGTGATGGTGATTCGCCTGATCAGTCGACATTTCTCTGGCACGATGTAATGGATTTCAATCTTGTTGTCCAGATAGAAAGCGAACATTTTTTCGATGGCTAACCAGAAATTAACCACTTTTCCAGTATCGAGAGCAGCTAAGGCAAGTGTGAGAGCTCGTTCAAGGTATATACCATTCTTCAAACTGATACGATACAGACGATGGAGGGACTTCCGCACGTCTGAGGTCTGCGAAGCCATTGTAAAATTCCGCCTGAAAATGGCGGTGAGCAAATAAGTACATCCAAAATTATTCCATTCCACATGAAGTTCTTGGGGCTTCTCCTTTTTAATGGAAATAATGTGACCGTAATATATGGGTTTCGCACTGCACCTAAAATGTATCCTACTTACTATCTCTTCTTTTTCTTTTGATAGGCTGAAACGCAAACGAAGAACATTCGACCTCCCAATTATGTCGAAATCAATATCGTCACTGTCGCTCGAACATTTAATGATGTGCGTTAGGCATTCGACAAAGCTGTCGTTTCCGCGGTTCGTTTTTCTCTTCTCAAGTAAAAAAATAAGAGGTGGATTGCCCAAATCGAAAAAAACATCACTCGTTTCAATATTGAAAAATATGTTTCTAATATTGGCATAGGTGAACGTTATTTGATATTCTCCATAGAATAGGACGACTTTGCGTTCATCGTGCAGAAAGTTAGCAACGTAAGACTTCCTCAGGCTAGCAAATTGGTGAAACTCACCATTGAAAGGCAGAACACCGAATGCCATGTTCTCCATGGACACTGAAAGGTGAGAAGTTTCAAAATTGTTTTTGAAACTGTTGTTAGCATGAAGCAGAAGCAAAGGTGTCGGTTTTGGAAAAAACAACTGCTTCCAATTTTTGCAAAATTTATTATAATAATAGGATCTGTGTTTTTGACCGTTTCTATCTATTGAAGCGCGGGCTTGAAGCACTAATTCTTCGATTTCGACATAATCTTCATTGTCAGCTCTTTCTATTTTCAATACTTTCAGAGAGACATGTTTTAACTGGCACTTTAATAGGTGTTTCTTGAACTTTGTTAAGTAGTATTCATTTTCTTCTTCTGTAGATATCTCGTAACGAGGAATTACAACGATTTTAAATTCGAGATATTCCATTTCAAAGCATTTCTCTGAAATAATAATACAAAATTAACATGAGTTTTACAAATGAATAAAATAGAGAATCATTAATCAAGGAAACAATAAATGAGAAAATTGTTCAATAAGCGTGTAAATTAAATAAAATCAAGTAATAAGGAAACGGCCTCCAAAAGGTTCAGTCGACGAGTACGACTGTTACTTTTTTTAAGCATATTTGAATCGACCAATTATATTTACCTATAATTTATTTAACATTTTAGTAATTTTTAGGAAACTGAAAGCAAAGCGAACAAATCTATTTACATTAAAAATATGAAGAAGTTATTCATTTTTCATGAATTGCAATATACCAGGGGTGGCGAACCTTTATGCACCAACGTGCCATTTTTTTCAAAAAATTGTTTAATGAGGTCATAGACGTGCCGTCAAATCATTTTGACTTTGTGATTATTGGGAAAATAATAATACTAAATACTATCAACTCAAAACTCTTTATTTACTATGAAAAAAAAATACATTTTGCAATGTCTCAGTTATACGCGTAATTCAACTTAAAGTAACATCAGTGTGACTTCTGTTGTTGCAGATTAGATGACAAATAACTTATATTAGGTTGTAAGATGTTAGTTTAAGCAGGACTGTTAAATTTTTTTTGCTAGTTATTTATTGTTAGCTTGTTTTGCTAATCCTTGTTTTTTATGGTTATTAATTGTTTTTTGGAATTAATTGTAAATTTTTTTGTTAATAATTGTTTTTTCGTTTTTGTTTTTTGTGAATTTCAATTTAATTGTTAATACGCTTTATAGTAAACTTTGTGATCGGTGGCGTGCCCAAAATATTGTGTCACGTGCCATAAATGGCACGCGTGCCATTGGTTCGCCATCCCTGCAATATACCATTAACTCAACAATAAAGTAACTGAATTCTAAAATTATGCTAATATGTTCACAATTGCTAATTCCCTTCGTTTATATGTTCAGATTTGCAATAATCGGCTCACATGTTAAGAACCATTTTTATAAAGAAGTATGGGTTCCACCAAAATAAGTTCGATCATTTGGGATTCTATAGCCGAATAAAATTGGGAACCACTAAACAGAATAAATTAGCGAATCAGAAAATTAAATACAGAAACCAACGATCAAATGAATCAGAAAATCAATGAATAAAACAATCAGTAAACCAGCTTTTGGAAAAAATAGAGAAATCACTAAATAAACTTATCAATAAATAAACCTATCAAAAAATAATTTTATAAATAAGTGAATAAATAAAAAAAATCCAAATAGTGAATCAACAAATTTCAAGGGAATCAGAACATCTAAGTATCAGTAAAAACATTAAATGAGAGCATCATTAATTCAAATGAATGAGTCGGCGAAATAGCGAATCAATATAGCAATACAAAACCATAAACTAACAAATAATTAAATCAAAGAAACGGCAAAACAAAGAAACAATGATTTGCTTTAATGATTCATTAACTGATTCATTGAATTCGCTGTCTTACTGATACATACAGTTATTGGTTTAATAAATCATTGTTCTACTTAATTATACAACTGAAGATTTATTGATTATTTAAATCATCGATTTACTGATTTCTTAATTCTGTCACTCACTGATTCTCCCGTCATTTAATTCGTTGATTCATTATTTCTGTGATTCGTTTCAAAATCACCTCAAATACGAAACACTTAAAAGATCTCTAAGGTAACCATTCCTATTGAGTATTAAGAAAATGCCATCTCAAAGGGTTAAACTATCCTACGATATAATATGCGAAGCACATATCCGCTTTAATCAAAATTTTATTCTAATTTTTATTGAAATTATGTTGATGTTGGAATTAAAACAAATCGAATGACAATTCAATTTTTTTTCTTATTATCTATATTACAGTGATCTTTAACACAAATATGAAATGAAACAATAACAGCGCATATACTAAGGAAACATCACCAACATAACACTTAAACAAACGAAGCATAAAACCTTAAATTTGATAAAAATCAAATCAATACTACTTTAATGAAAACTCAAAATTAAAAAATAAGTAGAAACAATAAAGATAATGTTTCTGAATGAAATTTTGAAAATTAGCTATAAAAAAAAAGACTACAAATAACGCAACCTGCACAATTTAAAAAATTACTATTTAAATAAAAACTTTATTATAAATAGTTTATATTATTGACTTTCTTTTTTCAAAATAGAAATTGATCAAAGTTGTGTGGAATCTAAGAAAAGGTAAAAAATAGTAGCAAAATTATTTATTTGACTAACTATATAGTTACATTTTAAAATCCATTTCAATTTTCGAATAATAAATAATATAGTTTCAGTTCTAAGTTACGCCTTTTAGTGAAACAAAATTGTACCAAACCATAAATAGATCAATATTTAGAAGATAAGGAACACAATAATTTAAAAAAATTACTTATACATTATTTAGATTATCAATAAAAATGTTTTGATCGTATTAATTATTCAGAGGAAGAGTCAGGGATGTTTTATTTCGGCCTGTCTTAAGGCTTGCGTGATAAAATCAATGATATGAGGATCTTGTTGGTAAAGCAGCGATATCTCTTAGGGTAGCGGGTTCGAATACCATCGTATCCACCTTTGTGCAGTCCTTCTCTCATTTATACTATCCGCATTTCACCTTAATTAAGACTAAAAAGCCGCACTAGTTAATTCGCACACAAGCCAAATTTAATAATTGCTCAGCTAATTTAATAATTGCTACTTTGATTTAATAATTGCGGAGCGGGCAGTCTGAGCAATAATAGATAAATAAATACTGCCAGATAGCCTGACTGGTAGGACCATGTCCAAGAGGTCATGAGTTCGATCTCTACCGTCCGAAAACTTCTGTGTACAAAATGGTGACTGGTGCAAGCTAAATCTGTTGGGGTTACAAAGTCCCCCAAGTTCTCATACCAAATCAATTCCTCTGGGGTTATTGGATCGGACATTAATCGTGCTCTGGTTCAGGTCAAAATTACGATCTGCGGAAGGATGGATGGTATGTGAATGTGTGCTCTCTGCAAAACGTGATGTGAACGTATCTGTGTTGTCTCCGAATCATCCTCAGGAATGTTGTCTCCGAATCAGCTCATAATCTAGCTCTTGATCGAAGCAAATAAAAGCACCAAGATAAATAAATACAACAAATATGGAGCATTCCGTGGTCGAGTGATATCGCCGTTCCATCAATAGCACAAAGGTAGCAGATTCAAATAGTTGTAACCCTGGATGAATTTTTGTGTTGTCCCTTTTTGAACTGTGCTATGTGTTCTCCAGTTTGAAAAAGATACAAAGGTTTAAAAGTCGACCTTAACATTAAATACACAAACCTGTATAGGTATATGCAGGGGCCTCCCTGGCCAAGCGGTTTCGCCCGCCAAACACTGTGTGAAGCGTGGTGGTATCGGTTCAAATCCCGCTGTTACCCTACATGTACCTTCGTGATGTCCTTCTCTGCATTGTGCTATCTGTCTTTCTATTTGACAGAGGTTTATAAGCCTAAGTTGAGCACACAAGCCTGCAAATGCATGTAATTCCATTAAGGTATATGTAATACTAATAAAATGTGAATGCACAAATTAATACGCTTAACGCAACCGATGGGTATTGCGCATCCACCTCGCGTGGAGGTAGCGGGTTCGAATACCATCGTAATCTTATGTGCTATTTTTTAATGAGTGCTGCTATCTGTTCTTGCATTCAACAAGAGTTTTAAAAAACCTGCGTGTGTAATTAAATCCCCTAATTAGTCCAAATCAGACAATGTATGATTTTAAAGCTTCGTATTAGCAATAAATACTAGGTCTTGATTGGACTCGTTATCCAACTTCAGCAGTTCGTATACATTGTACAGTTGCTAAGCGATTACTTTGTGCTAAAAGGCTTAGACTTTTTTTTTTAATTATTTTTTTCAGGTTTATGTAAGGCACTTAATTTTAAAAAAACACACACACATTAGTGTTGGGTTTTGCGGGCAGTGACATTTAATGACATTAGTGACATTCAAAAAACATAACTGTATGCATTGTATCAGGTAGTGGTACTTAACATCAAAAATCAGTGTCGGTTATACCGGTGGTATTTAACCTTACAAAACATCAGTGAAAGATATGCCGAATAAATGTTGTTGCTGTTGTTGTTAATTTACGTCGCACTAGAGCTGCACATTGGGCTATTGGCGACGGTCTGGGAAACATCCCGGAGGATGATCCGAAGACATGCCATCACAATTTTGATCCTCTGCGGAGGGGATGGCACCCCCGCTTCGGTAGCCCGACGACCTGCGCGCGAAGTCGAGCACTTTACGGTAGCACAGTTTAACGAGGACCAATACCGCACACCCTCGGTCCCTACGCAGACTGATCCAAGTGATCACCCACCCGCACACTGACCGTAGTCAGTAATGCTTGACTTCGGTGATCTGCTGGGAACCGTGTCTTAACGATCAGTCCACTGCGGGACCCGAATAAATGTATACCGGTCAGTGGTGCTTTATTTTAAAACACCTTAGTGTAGGTAGGGTGTACTGGCCAATGGCATTTAATCTTAAAAAATATCAATGTATGGTATACGCGGCAAATGTATACCGCCAATCTCTTGATCACTCTGATTATTAAAAGTAACAAACAACGATTATTATCAATAGCCGTATTCCATAAACGAATATACATATTTAAAATTTATGAACTCCAGATTTTAAAAAATTATTCCTCAATAAATAAACAAAACAATTTTACTTTTTGATAGAATAAAAGGACCGGCTTTGTCAATTTGCAGAACAGACAGCACCGTTTAGAAGACAGAACAAAGACACGAAGTTACACGAGGATTCGATTATTATATGAGGATCAATTGTGTCAACCTACTGACCGAAGACTTTATAAGTGAATTTCGACGATAAAAAAAATTCTGATTAATGCAATACTTGTCTTCTTTGTCGCAGTCTTTGAGAGAAACGTCGACTGCCATAGAGCTGGTTTGTACTCTGAAGTCCCGAAAAAAAAATCTAAACGGAGAAGTGAATAACATACAAGTAGGACGCATTTTAGTATCGTTCGAATCCGGGGCAATTTCTGCTCTGAAAATCTGCGACAAAAAGTCGCTAAGCCATCTCGATCACAACCATCAATTATGCACACAAACCCCATTTACATGAGGCTCTAGTCCCACAGTGGACTGATAAGATCTAGTGGATCACCGTAATCAATCATCACTGATAATGATCAGTGATCCGGTGGTGGGTCACTTTGATCATCCTGCAAAGGGACCAAGGGTGTGCGATATTGGTCCTCGTTGAACTGTTCTACAGTAAAGTGCTCGCTGGTCGTTGGTCTACCAAAGCAAGAAAGTCATCTACTCTGCAGAGGATTAAATCAAAATTGTGATGGCATATCTTTTTGTTGTTGTTGTTGTTCATTTACGTCGCACTAGAGCTGCACAATGGGCTATTGACGACGGTCTGGGAAACATCCCGGAGGATGATCCGAAGATATGCCATCACAATTTTGATCCTCTGCAGAGGGGATGGCACCCCCGCTTCGGTAGCCCGACGACCTGCACGCGAAGTCGAGCACTTAACGGTAGAACAGTTTAACGAGAACCAATACCACACACCCTCGGTCCCTAAGCAGACTGATCCAAGTGGTCACCCACCCGCAAACTGACCGTAGTCAGTGATGCTTGACTTCGGTGATCTGCAGGGAACCGTGTCTTAACGATCAGTCCACTGCGGGACTTCGGATCATCCCCAAAGATGTTTCCCAGACCGTTACCAATAGCTCATTGTACAGCTTTGGTACAGGTAAACAAAATTCTACTACTGCAAGTATTCCAATTGCATATACTCTTACTTAAATTATGTACTGAGGTTTTTTCGATGATCTGGAAGCATGACTTAGTAGCTCTTAGCCGTTTAGTCAACGAAGGATATTTTTATTCTAAATATGCAGTTGGTATAAAATGAAAAACGAGGAAATGAAGTGCCAAGACATTAGTAAGGATATTCAATATTTATAGAAAGAAAGTATTTGTGTTCATCAATGTTATAATAGAAATGTGTAACCACCTCAATGGAATAATTTTACCCAAGCAGATCGACAGAAATCATACTTAAATGTAAGTAGATCAATAATTTAATCAGCAACACTCATAAGAAAAAAGAAAATTTCCTGGTTTTCCTAGTTACACGTAAGAAATAAGTTGTGTACTAAAAGTTAATAAATTTTTTATTAAAAATTTTTTTTTAAGGAAACAGAAGGGGTTAAAAGAAATATTTTTAAAAAAATACGCCTGAAATAAAATTACAACGAACTAAACTTCTGGTTAAGTAAAAAACTTAAAAGTTTAGAATTAAATAAAGTTTAAAAATGTATATCTTCAGCAATTACCAAAATTTTATACAATTTAAAATGATTTCATTCGTTAAAACAAAAAAGATAAGATAAAAAAATGATAAGAGGTAAATAAATTCTCGATTTTTTTTATTCATATATTAGTATGCGCATTTCCATCCCATCTCATTAATTGGTAGACAAAACATCTTGGAGACAGGAAAAAGACTGCTTCAAACAGTTTTAATAAGGACTAGTACAACGTACACCTGCATCAGGCTGAACTTGAAGCTTCTTTTGTTACTGTTAATCTTTTTTTTAAAGTTTGGTTTAGTCTGGTCTGCAATGCGTCTGGTTTGGTGACTGTTACCTCGGTCCTTTATTTCGTATTTAAAGCCTTTTTTAAACAAAAGAAAATTCAATGCCATAAGCATTTTCTTTTCTCACTTACTTTGCTCGCACGCAGAATCGCTGAACAAATTGGATAGTTCCGTTTTTACGAAATTTTTTTTGTAAGGTTTTCTGGATTTTAGCTTAAGATTGATCCAATTTTGGGCTGGGTATGCCTTGTTTTACACATAGTTAAAACTTATTTTTCCCTTTAAATATACTTTAAGCATTAGTATTAAATATTACCAAGGTGAATAAGCTGTGAGTGAATTCCCGCTCGTCGCTGAAAATTGATGCATCTATTTGCGAAAGTTTCTTGTATTTTTTGCTTTGTAACATATCTTACAGACAATTTGTTAGTTTTAAGTTTCAGCCATTTAAACTTACCCAACACTTTCAAAACCATAATAATCATTTTCAAAAACTGCCACGCATTACTTTTAACAATATAAACCACTAAAATTATAATAGTGGGAACTATGTGATATTTAATCAACCACTTTATACCCATTGACATAATTAGGTGGCATTGGTATCAATAAGCGTTTGGTGATTTTTCACACCTACATGCAACGGAATGCCGTTTTTAAAGGAGATTGAAGCCGCCTATATACTGGGGGGGGGGCGAAATAGAGATATTTTTGATTACAGACACCAAAAGCAACAAAACAAAACAGCAACAAAAAATTGTATTATTGGCACATTAAATTTGGGAAAAATAATAAAAGCTTTTATCTTT